CTAACCGACTTACCAAAACTATAGTTTGTTAACAAGAAATTTGTGGAGTGGTTGAAAAACGAGTTTTAATGACTCCAACCTAAGTGTATGTAATGTTAGAAATTGCGTAATTCAAATCTGGTATTGAAATAAGAATCAAGAGATCTTCAATCCAAGCTACATTTATTATATGCAAAATGTATGTATGATAAGTATGTTGGTTCGTATACGGTCTCACTGAAAAACCTCGCAGGGCAGACAGAGAACTAATCCATTGTTTCAGATTGTTCTTCAAATACTCTGACAGAGAGAGAGTTCCCACCTCTCTGCTGGCCAATCAGAGTAGAGACTTGAGCGTGGTTTAGACTTACTCAGCCAATCCGTTGGCACACTGGCTGTTCCCCGCCTCTTAGCGCATCCCTGTTTCCAGGCATACGTTTATCATAACAACCTGTCATAGTGAGAAGAGCCAGCTCCCCTAGACACCATTCCTACATCCAAGGAAGGTTCACAGATCACAAAGAACCAGTATAGTCTAGTATTTGGAGACACAAATCCTTATCTCATTTTACCCCCTAAAACAGCTCTTCACATCAATCACAGCCTGCCAGGTGACACAACCTACATCAGCCCAGTCTAGAATGCATTCTTTCTAAGTTAGTCATCCCATCAATTAGGAGAATAATAAATCCCCCATAATCCCCCTTTTCACACCCACTGGGTGTGATTCAAAATAAGAAAACACAGGGTGTCATTCATTATAATACAATACAAACAAAAATAATCACACTTTTATTAATAGGCCATAATGATACTAAAAAATTTAAACCCTCAGTCCATCTACACCCAACTTGCAAATTGTTACCAGTCACCAAGGAACTTAAAACCATAAAACACATGATTAATAGAACACAAAACATAAGATTATTAAAACATAAAACACAAAATAGAGAAGTAAATTTTGGCCCCCTTTAGACACCCTCTAGTGTCACTCCACCAAGCCTGGTAGGTCATATCCTTAATTCCTTAGGTCGGAGTCCAGGATTGGGCCGTATCTCACCATCTGTTGAGAAACCACCTTCCCCATCTCCTTTCTCACCAAACCTCAGACACAGGAAATAAGACAACATCCACAAAGAACAAGTATACCCATAGAAGCTATAACTTCACCCAGAATAGTTACAACAATAGTTTTCCATTTACCAAATATGTTATCAAACCAACCGTTTATGGAGCTATCAATACCAGAGTTCTCAGCCAATTCGTTCGTCAGCGTAGGTACTCCCCTGAAGCTCTTTTGTCACGGACCCGTCCGGTGCTATGTTGTTTGAGGATGAAAATACAGCACATATATCCAAACAGAACACAAACTCCGCCCCGCTCAGCCAAAAGCATATCTAAAGCTATTCTATTCTGACATGTTATTAAGCTAGTTGCCGCTGTCTGCTCAGCTAATCCCTTTATTGCATCTGGTTTCATAGGGTATTGCTTTTGGTATGGTCTATTATCGGATCGAGGAATCACTTGTACTGGAGCTACCCCCTTAATTAGTCCTACATCGGCTGGTCCTTGTGACCATAATTTGAACGGAATTGCTGCTAACTCAGCCTCCTGTTCCTAAGTTAAGAAAATCTCTTCCTGTCATCCGTTAAAACTTATCTCCAAGTGGACCCCGGGCAGGGTTTTTGCTCTCCAATTTAACTTTCTTCTATATCTCCCAGTGGAGTGGCCATACTGATCCCCATTTGGTGTATTCTGCCAGTCAGTAATGTTTTTCCCCTGTTTTATCCATTTACCTAGTGATAACCATTCCTCTGAATGTTCTTTCACTAGGGCAACATGGGGGCTCCACCTTTCTCTGTACAGCCTCTGGCTCTGTGAACCCATTTTAACCCAATTTGAAAAACAACAACCACAAATAGCCAGGCCTCACTTAATTTGGTAGATCACTTTTATGACCTAAATATTGCCTAACTGAGATGAGCTAATCTCTTTCTCCTGGTTATAATCTAAAGATGGTAGTACACACAAAACATGATACAGATATCCCCAGTCTTAACCCATCAATAATTGTTTGTATCAATCTAATTCCTCATAACTAATCCATTAAACCACTCAAAATTCCTCGAGTATACAATGATTATTTAATTGATTACCCTATCTCTGCTACATGTGATCTCATCTCAAATGATCCATTATCAATTATTTGTTCAACCTCCTAGGAAAATCTGTCTCCCCTGTTTCACCAATCCAGAACCCACCACAGGCTGGCGCTATTTCCCCAGCACAACAGCCAATGCATACTTGCATCCCCGTAACCAAAATAAATTATTGTTCTAGAATGTACCAACAATTTTGTATTTTCCCGCTAACCCATTTCAGTTCGCTATTCAATTTCTTTAACCGTTCTCTCTGATTAGGCCCTAATTAATAAAACAAATACTTGCTATCGTTGATCAGCATACACTTAATGACATTCCTACCATCTGAACTATGTCCTGTCTCTTACATCTCCTCCCCCTCTCCTGCTCCTTCCTACATTATGGGGGAGGCGCGGGAAACTTCCCTACAATCTTCCTTCTTAGAAAATAATGTCATTCGTACTTGTAACATATTTTCATAGTCCTATCTAGAATACTACTAAAGCTATCTTATGCAACTTTTAATACACGTAAAAACTCTCTCTCTCTCCACCCATTCCCTATTGAATAAGTGAGTCTTTCTATTTAACCCCAAAACACGCTACAAATAGTCCATTCAACATTACCAAACCAAATACTCCATCGTACCCATTCAATCAACACATCAGCAGTGGAATTTACACTCATAAATGCAGATTGTTACTCCATGCCTTGATATGCTTACCCTCCCACCATCACATGATCCAACAACGCCACAACCTTAAACTCATATGGGGCGGCAGGCAGCTTAGTGACCAATAGCGCCGCTCCAACAACCGAGAGGTCGCCGGTTCCAATCCCCGAGCCGACCAGGCGAAAAATCTGCCGATGTGCCCTCGAGCAAGGCACTCAACCCCAATCGCTCCTGCAAGTTGCTCTGGACAAGAGCGTCTGCCAAATTACCAAAAATGCAAATGTAAATATTCTCTACTTTCTCACCCATGACGTACGTCTACGTTCGGGTGAGCAAGTTTAGAACATCTCTCGTCAGAAACCCACATGCACCTCTCAAATAATCACCCAGTGGTGTTCCCAGCCAACTCCCAGTCTATCATGGCTCCAAAAGACACACTTTCGCTGTCTCCAGCCCCTCCCCTCGCAACTCTACCTATTCCTTGTCCAGGGGGAACAGGCTTTGTGAGGAGCTGTTTCTCGTTTAAGCGTGTTTCCAATATTCTGCCGTTATTCAAAGTACTTTAATCTATTTATTTAAATCAAATGATTCCCACCTAATTAGTTAAAGTTGGTGCATGTTTATATTTCAACGATAAACCGAATTATTTCAGTCTAATTGTTTAACCAGTATTTTGCAGGGTCAAACATCAAACGTTAAATCAAATAATAAACCAAATAGCCTAAACCAAGCACCTAAAACCAGTATTATGCTATGTCAAACATCAAATCAAATAATAAACCGAATTGCTTCGACACAACTATTCAAAAGCAGTATTATGCTATGTCAAACATCAAACATCAAATTTCAATCATATCAGCTCAAACGTTTCAGTTCAGTAAACTTCCGACTTCAACTGTATCTTTGTCCCCTACTACAGTTCCACACAGACTGTGTCGACCCATTGCTTCGGAGGTCCAACTCCTGTCCCCTGGATGGATACGTCATCTACAACCCCCTAACATGGAGCAGTGGTGGGGGGAAGTGTACACCCAAGCCGGCCTCCTCCCCTGACCATCCCAAGCTCACAGAGCAGCACAGACTGGAGCTGTTCGTCCCAGGAGTAGCTCTGCTGGATAGGGCAGGCAGGGTGGTTCCCTCCATAAGTATGGTTAGCGCCGAGGGCTCAGCCGGTGCCCTGGTGCCTCTCCCTCAGGATACTACGGTCATCGGCTTACAAGGTCTACGCATCAATACAGTGAACATTGAGAGCATGGAGGGTGGAAAAAGCGGGACAGAGAAGGATAGAACTCCTGTCAAATCAGTAATTCTTAAGAAGAGCCTTTCCTCCGAGCATCTAAGGACAGACGTGTCTAGAGTGAGGTTGGGACGCTCCTCGACCAAGAGGTTGGCCCAAAACACTGCTACCTCAACTAACAGGCTGGGTGAGGTCTATGGAGGGACGGGAAGGGCCCAGCAGAGTCTGTTTGTGGGTGTAAACAGGTCAGACAGGGACATGACTGCTGCTGCTGCTGCTGCTCAGCCCAGAGCTGTCATCTCCCTGTGGAGAGCCAGGCCCCAGTGGAAGCTGAGACCCAGGGTGCCCCGGCCCAGACCAGTCACAGGAGACAGCCAGCAGGCCACAGGCCTGATGATGACAGGGGGACTGATCAATGCTCCACACCAGGGAGAAAAGGAGTAAGAGTTGGATTTTAGAACATATTTTGTTGTGAACAGACTACTGCTATTGACTATATAGGCATTGAGAGTATGGTAGAGTTGTACTAGTTAGAGTTGTTTTTTATACAGTATATTAAAAAAAGATAATTGATCAGTTTTGTTTTCTATGAACTTGTGTGCTCTGCTCTTGGTTAGATATCTACACTGCACAGCTCTATGTTCACTTCACCTGAGTCTGGTAGTCTTTCATTTCACTGGGTTTTTATAAGTGCTATTTTCATTGACACGCACATTTTATTCACTAAACAGTGCTTGTTTTAAACAAATGTCAAAAAGTGTTGAAATACAAAATGAGCTTTTACCTGGACATATAAAAGTACCACAGACATACCAACCCGTAATAAAAAGAACAAACGTTTTAAAAGTTTCTAATTTTTTTGGTAAAAACCTTTTTCCATTTTCAGCTTGCCGTTTTCCATTTAAGACATATTGAAGCAGTGATGCACCCAGGCGATATAAAAAATGACTAAAGGAACCATCAGTCCAGACTAAACGCGCTGTTGCACTGTAATATTCCTCTTCTCGTCCTGTGTGGTGACATCCTGACTTGTAATGGTTAACACATGACCATTGAGAGCAGTGATTGTCACTGGTGGCAGTTCGACCAGCGCGTCCTCAATGTCCTTCACAGACTCTCTCCCCTCCCACCCTCCTCGCAGAACATTTCTGATGACACTGTCCTCTACACTGAACTCTCGGACCAGATCATCAGATTGTAAGGAGAGCTTCCCTCTAGTTATCCTTCCCATCTTGGATAGTATGTACGTCATAGGGCACTTCTTACAAGTCACCATCTTTTCAGTGGTGTCCACCCTCTCCAGTGGGTGCCCTTGTGGGCAAGTGTACTCTTGGGACAACCAGTGTCCAATGATTTTCCCCACAAACTTCTCAGGCTGTACCATGTCGTGTGGCACATCGCATTTCCTACCACTGGCCACATTGGTCAGAGTAGATTCTGATGTTGTGTTCAGAACGGTTTTGCCCCCATACTGAGCAACAGAAACATTGGTGACCCGGTACCATTTCCCCTCTTCAACCGTGTTTTTACGACCCCACACGGTCAGGTTTGTGAGTGTAGTCGAATCAGCTACAATATCGCCGACTAGGTATTCCACCATGGGCATGCTTTTGTTGGCTCTTGTTTTGCGATGGCACTCTTTCAGCTTCTGAATCACCTCCACTGTAACGTTCACCTACAAAGCAAGAAAAACACTCACCAACAGGAGAAATACATTACAGGGCACTGAACTAGACAAGGTTAGAGTTCAGACATAGTACTTCATTGCTAGTGAATTATTATTATTATTATTATTATTATTATTATTATTATTATAACTACCTTCTGTTTTACAGCATTTTCTATGTTTTCTTGAAGGTCAGCCAGGGCCACATCCTTGACCCTCCCATCAAGGTCGCTGTTGAATTTGAAGGGTAAATCTTCGAGGATGGAAAATGTGGATGTGTCTGTAAACATGATCTCCATCTTGTTGTTTCCGCTTATGGATGGCTGGAGCCCCACTTTCGCCAACTTCACTGGAGTTCTACAAAAGCGTGCATTATTACATTTGAATAACAGATATTCTAAATCACATAGCACTCGAAGCCTTTGCAGAACACTTCATACCCAACTTACCTGCGACTCTCTGCTGTGGCAAAGCGGTCTCGCAGCTGCTGCTGAAAAACTATAATATTCCTGCTCTCGTCTTCTTGCTGTAAAACTGCATTGAAATATCCTGTCTTCTTCCCTCTCTTCACCGCTGAAACATTGTGGATGTAACCGCAGGCCTCACTTGTTGCCTGAAGATTCCCCACTTTGGAGCCTGTTGGACGGACAAAATGCAGGATCTTAAAGAAGAAATACATCTAGGCAGTAGACATGCATAGCCTAGATATTCAGAGTCAGGCATACTCAGTTTGAGATTTGGAATTGTAATAGGCGCCATGTTGACACAATAAGCTCCACAACAGTCAACAACATTCTAGACTAGATTAGATGGGCAGGGCTGTACCTGCTCTGGTGCTTGGTGGGGATGGGTTAGGGGCACTAGGGTCTTTGAGGGTGGCCCAGTCCAGCTCTCTGAGTCTGGGGAAGTTTGCGGTGATCTCTGGATTATGCAGGAGGGCCACAAAACCATAGCAGTACTCCTCCCCTCTATTTATCAGCATGTCCAGTAGCTTGATGACTGTAATCTCTTGAGAATGACTGGATTGCAGGTGGGAGAGGGTGTTGTATTCACGCTGCGTCACAACTTTCTTCGAATGGGCATACTGGAGAATATTGTCGGGTTCCGCTGACAGAATCTCTGTTAGGAGCGGCTTATTCTCCAGCAGAAACTCCTTCGCCATTCTTCCCTGGGGTGGTTGGCTGTTCTTGGCCTAAGTTGGTTTCCTCCTGGTGACTCAAGTTAGGGCTGTGTTCAGCAGGACACAACGGCATGCAACTTTTGATTGAACGGAAACGGTGCTGTTCTGAACGGTCGGGCAACACTCTGCCACACCCACCAAACAGGAGCAAAGATACCTCAAAAGAACGGTTTGGGAGAAACGTGTCGTTCAGGCAACTTAGTAAAACGTTGAAGGAACTGAACACACCCCTGCTTTGTTGGCTGCCGGAATCTACTTCCTATTAGCCTGAGTGGTATGGCTTGTTGTCATGGGAGGATCTATGGGTGCTGGCCAGGTGGTCAGGTGACATCAAACTAGCACCTGGAGAAGGAGATGGAACAACAGGTGAATTACTGTGTGGAGTCAAAACATACAGTGACAGCTTACTGAGTTTAAGAGTGGTATCAGGCAAAAGACTAGGATGCAGGGTTAGCATACTACTGCTGGGTTATAGCTAAGATATTAGCCTACATGATATTGCTATGATTAAAATTGATCTCTTTAAAGAGGGTATCAAAGGTAAAAAGTAATATCGTTCACTGGAAAGCCACCTTGACATACAAGGCGTTGTCATTAACAAAGGTAGGTGAAGTAGTCGTGTACACGCCTTCCCTAATCTATAATTAACGCACGGTTATTTGAGCCACAACAGACAGACCGTGTGTGAGAGCAAAGTCAGAGTATTCACCCACACAAAAGACGCAGAAGGACGGCCTCTTTAACAAGCTGATAACGTCGGGTTCGTTCCAACGTTTTGTAAGGTTTTATTCAACAAAGTAAGTCACGATATTTTGTATATTATTAGTCATGTGACTTTGAACCCAAACTATAAGATGGTTTTGCTTAAATGTTTGTAAACAATGTATAGCTTCAAAATGTTTCAAACTATTATATTGATGTCATATAACTATCATATTGATGTCATATTTCAAACTATCATATTGATGTCATATTTCAAACTATCATATTGATGTCATATTTCAAACTATCATATTGATGTCAACTAACTATAAAATTGATGTCATAACTATCCATAACTACATATATGAATTTAAGAGTTTTAGCTACAGAATATTCTTCCGGCCCCATTCCTCAACTTTGTAGCTGAGGTAGCGGGTTGCCCGTTTGCCTGAAAAACGAATTGTGCCCTGTGCTGTACTGTGCTGCGCAGCACAACTGCAAAATATATGACCTGGAACGGCGCATGAGAGGAGGCGCTAAAATGGTTCATCTTGCAGCAGAGACACTTTAACCATTTTACCCGGAGCAGGAGTCATATTTCTAAAGCATTATTAAGCACCATCTACCCAATATTTTAATACCAAACATTTTCACAACATCTAACACGTAGGTAGCTAAAAATCCTGATAGGTAACGCTAAGGAAATTGTCCGTGCAATCCGGGATCTTCGGACCTTCCTACCCCCATTTATGTTGAAATTTAAAATGGTTCAAGTAGGGTTAGGTACGGGTTATTATGGTTAATGTCTGGGTAGGAGTTAAGGTTTAACCGTAAGGAAATAGTTATTTACCGCTTCTAGTCGTCTGCTTTTTCCTGCGCTCTCACTGAACAGAGAAAAAGGTTACTCTTCTTCTTCAATGAGGTTTAACGGCGGTTGGCATCCAATAAATGTTGCATTACCGCCACCTACTAGACTGGAGTATAACTCCCTTATACTTTGCTTTAAAAATAATAATAAGAAAAAATACAAGTAAGATTTTTTTAAAAATAAAAATACTAATACGCTACCATCTAACGCTACACTCACAAAACTACAAAATAATTATAAATACCATACTCCACTATTTAAATGTTTTTAGTCCTACTTCAGGCCAACAACACACCCTGTAACTCTTCTGATGTCAAGTCTTGCACACCCAAATACCTCTCTGCAGCTGCCACCGCAACCTCTATTTTCTGTGACTTACGATCCATCCCTGCAGTACAGTTGATAACCATTGCAATAATGCCAAAAATTCTATCTTACTGAAACATATCCACTTGTTGGTTTATCCCTCTGTACTGGTACAGATCTACTACTCCTCTCAGGATCCCTCCCCCTTGACCCATCTCCCTCTACTTTCTTCACTGCCTCAGCATATGACAACTTCTGCACTACTCTTACCCTGGAAACCTCAACCTGCCTCTCTCGCACGGGACATTTCTGATCCCCAGCCACATGGGCACCCCTACAATTAACACATACCACTACTTTCCCCAATGCTACACATTCCTTTGTCTCATGCCCTTCTGCACACTTCTCACACCTAGGAACCTCCCTCCTACACACTGCTGCCACGTTCCCATAAGCTTGACACCTGTAACAACGTAATGTATTTGGCACAAAAGCTCGTACAGGATAACTTATATATCCTAACATCACTTTGTCGGGCAAAGACTCAACTTCAAAACTCAAAAGGACAGACAATGACTCTTCTGTTTCTCCACTCACGCCACCCTGTCTGCATCGCACCAAACGACGAGCATCACAAACACCGGGAATCTTCCCTTTCAGTTAGTCAGCTTTCACATTTACCACTACCCCAGTAATCACTCCTTTCAATGGGGCCCTTTTCTTGAGAGCAAAACAATTCACATCTCTTGCCCCCATTCGTTTAACATGGAGCACCTGCTCCCTCTGACCAGCAGAAACACAAACAATTATCACAAGGCCACTTCTGGTTATCCTCACCGATTCCACAGCACCGAACTCTGTTTTCACCCACCCTGAAACCACAAATGGATCAGCCAGCAAGGGTCCACTTTTTCCAAAAACTTCACTCCTACTGTCAGACTCATCTTTATCCTGACCCTCTGTGCAAGCCTCGGGCTCCGAGAACTTCACCACACCTACCACCTCCGATACTTCACCCTCTTCCATTTCTCCTCCTGTCTTCAACTCACTCTGCTTACACTTTCTACCGTTCTTCTTTAACAAACCATCTCCCTTTTTCCCGCCATTTTTAACCGACTCAAACTCACCCTTTTCCTCCCTCTCTCTCTTAGACCTCATTTGCCTCTCTTTTTCCCTCCATTCCTCCTCCGTATTCCAAGTATAACTCTCCTTATGATAATCAGGGATGCAAACTGGTAAGGGCCCAAAAAAGTGACACTTTTTTTTGCACTGAAACATGCAAAAAATCCCTGCTGGGGGAAATACAGGTTTGAACTAATTAAACAACAAAGAATATGATCTACATGATCAGTCTCTGTGTGTAAAATAAAAAGTGGTTAATGTGAACCTAACTCACAGCAAAAAAATGTAAGGAAAGCAATCCAATGTTATTTGTTGCCTAGACTTTACTGCAAATGACACTGAAGTCTTGAGAAAAAACAATACACTAATATTGCAGTTAGCCATGGCAGCCGTTATAATAGAACGCCTGTGACCACACAAATCTAAATATTGCACTTGGGAAAAAAACATCTTCAAGTAGAAATAGAATGAAACAAACAGGCATTCTATTTTTGCTCTATTATAGTGGCCACTATAGTAGACATCGATCAAGTGCACAAGACTACATGCAAAAATAACGTTCATTGTGTAAAACATTTTATCATCCCCCCTCACTCACACACAAGTGTTACTGTCAAATTCAACACAACAAAAGCAATATATTTGGGCTACACTGCACATTATTACATTGTACACGTTCGGCCTGTGGACATCTGTTCTACAATGTGCCAGCAGAGCATGAGACCCATTGTTGGCATAACTGATCTCTTTCGGGCAGAGTACACCTGGCATACCCCTTTTTATCCACTGTATTGAAAAAGTGAGAAAGAGGGAAAGTGTGTGGTGTTCCTTTCACCTCTATAGTGGCATCCAGCTTAAACCAGGCCCAGCTCCAGCTCCAGCTACACTTGATCCCTGAATCCACTTGTTTAAACAAGCAACAACCTCATTTCACCTCATTATTCTCTCATTCTGAAATTAATCCACTACTGTAGATGAAAACATTAGTTCACAGATAGTATTTATTTCGTTAGCTAGTTAACAGTTAACTTTCACACAGATGCCAGGTCCGTAAGCAAACTAACGCGTTATAACCTGAGGAACGGTAAGGAGTTAAACTAACGGTTACAAGCTGTGTGACTATACCAGCTATTTCACACTAACAAATTAGTTGATCCGTTAATTCGCTACTTCTACTTTCCTGGCTAGCTACAGAATTCGATCTAGCAATACTTACAATTAACATACTTGTTCCAACATACTTTCCCCAACTTTCCAATGCCAGTGTTTTTCGCTCCACTCATAAGCACACTTCATCACCTTCTCAACCCGGTCTCCGTGGTCAGGCTTCACACCTATCTCTTCGTTATCGTTCAGGGGACGCGCTGCTTACTAGCTTCTTCTAAATTTCCCGGGCTGTGGGCAGTTCTTCTTCTTTGGTATCATGGCGTTCACACATTTTGTTTGTGCATGCCGCCATCTACTGTGCGGTAGTGTGTGTTCAATCACGTTACATTTGTGATACAAAAATAAAAGGGGGGGGGGATAAAATAACAAATCACCACCAAATCAAATCAAATCAAATTTGATTGGCCAGATGCGCCGAATACAACAGGTGCAGACATTACAGTGAAATGCTTACTTACAGCCCTTAACCAACAGTGCATTTATTTTTAATAAAAAAGTAAAATAAAACAACAACAAAAAAGCGTTGAGAAAAAAAGAGCAGAAGTAAAATAAAATAACAGTAGCGAGGCTATATATCAAATCAAATCAAATCAATTTATTTATTTATTTTTATTTCACCTTTATTTAACCAGGTAAACCAGTTGAGAACAAGTTCTCATTTACAACTGCGACCTGGCCAAGATAAAGCAAAGCAGTGCGATAAAAACAACAACACAGAGTTACATTACAGTGAAATGCTTACTTACAGCCCTTAACCAACAGTGCATCCCTGTCCTAATATTCCTGTTCTTGTTTCATGATTCCTCCTACGTCCGCCTGCATACATGTCTCTCGCGCCTTCTTTCCTCTCCGATCAATTAATCCGGTTGGCTAACAACAAATCTAAATCCGGTCCCAGATCTTACCATCTGACAGCTTTCTTGTCCAGATTTTTTTGGAAAAAATAGAGAGATGGCGCTGTTGTGCCGTGGGAAACGTTAGGCTACTAAAGTAACTATAATACAGTAAGTAAAGTAAGTTAAATTACAAAATACAGTAAGTTCAATTACAAAATACAGTACATTTAATTACAAAATACAGTAAGTTCAATTACAAAATACAGTAAAGTTAAGTAAGGTAAAGTTACTACAGTATAAGCCCTACTCCTTGTAATGTTATGTGTGTAAATGACCTTTATCACTCTTTACTCAGGTACAAGCGTGATACCCTCATGGATCTGGACAGCATTGGTGAGTAAGTTCTACGTTAGAGCTCAGAGTGTGCCTTCTTCATTCTTTGGTAATCATGGCAGTTCACACATTTTGTGCATGCCGCCATCTCTGTGCGTAGTGTGTGTTCAACAGTTATTTTTAAAATAAGGGGGGTAAATAAAACACCACAAATCAAATCAAATCAATTGATTGCCGACGCCATACACATGAGACATTACATGAATGCTCTTAAGCCCTTACCACATGCATTTATTTTAATAAAAATAAAAAAAACACACAAAAAGCGTGAGAAAAAGAAAGTAAAAAAATAACAGTAGGGAGGCTATATTCAGGGGGGTACCGGTGCAGAGTCAATGTGCGGGGCACCGGCTAGTCGAGGTAGTTGAAGTAATATCACTAACTGTAAGTCGCTCTGGATAAGAGCGTCTGCTAAATGACTAAAATGTAAATGTAATGTAAATGTAATATGTACATGTGGGTAGAGTTAAAGTGACTATGCATAAATAATTAACAGAGTAGCAGCAGCGTAAAAAGATGGGGTGGGGGGGCAGTGCAAATAGTCCGGGTAGCCATGATTAGCTGTTCAGGAGTCTTATGGCTTGGGGGTAGAAGCTGTTGAGAAGTCTTTTGGACCTAGACTTGGCACTCCGGTACCGCTTGCCGTGCGGTAGCAGAGAGAACAGTCTATGACTAGGGTGGCTGGAGTCTTTGACAATTTTGAGGGCCTTCCTCTGACACCGCCTGGTATAGAGGTCCTGGATGGCAGGAAGCTTGGCCCCAGTGATGTACTGGGCCGTACGCACTACCCTCTGTAGTGCCTTGCGGTCGGAGGCCAAGCAGTTGCCATACCAGGCGGTGATGCAACCAGTCAGGATGCTCTCGATGGTGCAGCTGTAGAATTTGTTGAGGATCTGAGGACCCATGTCGAATCTTTTCAGTCTCCTGAGGGGGAATAGGAGACCACCACCCAACCCTACACCTATATACCAATATTTCATAAAAATAAAAATCTCAAATCATCTTATAACTCTTCTGCAGTAAAATCTCATCCACCCAGGTACTTCTCGGCAGCTTCCACCTATACTCATTAAAAACCCATTACTACGGCCTGGGAGGACGGGACACCACCCCACAACACACCCTGTAAATCTTCTGAAGTCAAATCTCGCATACCCAAATACTTCTCTGCAGCTGCCACCACAACATCTATTTTCTGTGATTTACGTTCCATTTCTGCGGTACAGTTGATAACCATTGCTATGAAAGCTAATAAGCCAACCTTACTGAAACATAAATAACTTGTTGGCCTATCCCTCTGTGCTGGCACACATGTACTACTCACTGGGATCCTCTCAGGATCCCTCACTCTATCTCCCTCTACTTTCTTCACTGCCTCGGCATGAGACACCTTCTGCACTACTCTGACTCTGGCCACCTCAACCTGCCTCTTTCACCCCAGCAACATGGGCATCCCTACAGTTGACGCACACAACTTTATCCACCGAAACTACACAATCCTTTGTCCTATGTCCTCATGCACACTTCCCACATCTTCGAATCTCCCTCCTACACTCTGCTGTGACATGACCATAAGCGTTGCACCTGAAACAGCGCAATGGATTTGGCACAAAAACTCGAACAAGATAACTGATATATCCTAACATGACTTTGTCGGGTAAAGACACTGACTCAAAACTCAGAAGGACTGACAGTGACTCCTCTGTTTCACCAAGCTCCCCACCGGGTCTGTGTCGCACCAAACGGTTGGCGTAACAAACACCAGGAATCTTCAACTTCAATTGCTCCAACTCCACACTTAACGCTACCCCAGAAATCATTCCTTTCAATGGTGCCCTGTTCCTAAGAGCAAAGCAAGATCAGATCTTGACCCAAGTTACGTGACACGGAGCACCTGCACCCTCTGGTCAGAAGAAACACAAACAAATATCACAAGTCCACTACAGGTTACCTTCACTGATTCAACTGCAGCCAACTGCTTTCTCACCCACCCTGAAACCACAAATGGATCCACTTTCTCCAAAAAATGTCACTTCTATTTAACCAGATTCTTGTTTATCATGTCCAACAATGCCAAGCTCGGGTTCCAAGCTCTTCACCACACCTTCCACTTCTCTTATCTCTTAACATTCACTTCCATTTCCCCTCCAGAACTCGGTCTGGTGCATGGCTCTCTTCAACGCCCCATCTCCATTTGCATCGCCACCTTCCTCAGATTCAAATCCAACCTCTGCTTTCCTCATTCTCTTCCACCTCTTCTTCCTCTCTTCCACCTCTCTTCCACCTCTCTTCCACCTCTTCTTCCTCTCTTCCACCTCTTCTTCCTCTCTTCCACCTCTTCTTCCTCTCTTCCACCTCTTCTTCCTCTCTTCCTCTCTTCCACCTCTTCTTCCCCTCTTCTTCCTCTCTTCCACCTTTTCTTCCTCTCTTTCCACCTCCATTCCTCCTCAGAAATCAAAGTTTCTGTATCCCTGTCCTAATATTCCTGTTCTTGTTTCATGATTCCTCCTACGTCCGCCTGCATACATGTCTCTCGCGCCTTCTTTCCTCTCCGATCAATTAATCCGGTTGGCTAACAACAAATCTAAATCCGGTCCCAGATCTTACCATCTGACAGCTTTCTTGTCCAGATTTTTTTGGAAAAAATAGAGAGATGGCGCTGTTGTGCCGTGGGAAACGTTAGGCTACTAAAGTAACTATAATACAGTAAGTAAAGTAAGTTAAATTACAAAATACAGTAAGTTCAATTACAAAATACAGTACGTTTAATTACAAAATACAGTAAGTTCAATTACAAAATACAGTAAAGTTAAGTAAGGTAAAGTTACTACAGTATAAGCCCTACTCCTTGTAATGTTATGTGTGTAAATGACCTTTATCACTCTTTACTCAGGTACAAGCGTGATACCCTCATGGATCTGGACAGCATTGGTGAGTAAGTTCTACGTTAGAGCTCAGAGGGTCACATTCAGTAAAGGACTCTATTCTATTCTGTTTTATCTCTTGTTGTGCATTGTGTGCCCTACCCATGTATTACGATATCTACATATATGGCCTTGTCCCAAGCTATGTCTAGTTCTGTGGTCCATGCTCTATGTTCTAACTCTAGTGTTCTAGTTCTATATTATGTGTTCTACCTCAGTATTCTGTGTGTTACCTGTGTTCCAAACCTCCTTTTGTGTGTGTTCTTTTCAGAAGGGTTGAATGAAGTGCGTCCTGCTGTGTACCGCACTGCAATGAAGCTCCGCTCCTTACAGAAACTCTGCCATAGTGAGTGTGTGTGTTTAAATTAAATGCTTTTTAGATATGTGTAATCTGTTACAGTGTATGTTTGTAATGCTCTGAATGTGTGTTACAGTGCATGTTGTGACACTGCGGGAGCTCATCCCAGCCCTGCGCTCTCTGGGAGGAGCCGGGGACCCTAGGGCGGGGCTTAGTGAACAGGAAGTGATGCAGGGCATAAACAGGATGTTCCAAAGCGTGTCACAGGAAGTACCTGGTCAGGTGTCAGCAGAGGCGCCAGAACAGACTTGCAGACTGCTGTACAGACTGTATGACCGGTGAGGACACACACACAAACACACACACACTACTGTTCAAACACACACTGCGTCTGTAAACTAAAGGGTGTATGTCTTCCCCAGGGGACAGACTGGCACTGTCTGTCGCAGGTCAGTTGAAGCTGCTCTCATCTCTCTCTCAGCAGACACACTCTCAGCCAAACACAAGGGTAAGTAACACACACACACACACACACACAACACACACACACACACACACACACGACATACACTCTGTGTTCATTCCCTGTGTGTGTTGCAGCTCTGGTTCGTCTGGCAGAGAGGTGCAGTGGGAGAGAGAGTGGCACGGTGAGCAGGAGTGGTCTCAGAGTCCTACTGCAAGACCTCAGCCAGGTTAGAGACACACACAGAGACACAGACACACACACCTGAGTACTACCTCACAAGATTATCACGGTCTAGCCTGTGTCTGTTTGTGTGTGTGTGTGTGTGTGTAGGTGCCGGCTGTAGTGCAGGAGAACCATGTGTTTGGCTCAGCTGAGACAGCCGTTCGTTCCTGCTTCAGTGGGGTAAGTGTGTGTGTGATTGTCAGTAGCAAATGAGTATCATCCCCTGTCAAAAAGAATGATTTATGACCTATGACTTAATGTGTACTGATAATGGTCATGGGGTTAGGTCATGGGGTTAGGGGGGGATGGCCACGGGGTTAGGGGGGTTTGGTCATGGGGTTAGGGGGGTTTGGTCATGGGGTTAGGGGGTGACTAAATAATTTGTTTAAATCACAGGAGAAGACATTCTTTACCCATGAGTTCACAACAGGAGGAGACATTGTTTACCCATGAGTTCACAACAGGAGGAGACATTGTTTACCCATGAGTTCACAACAGGAGGAGACATTCTTTACCCATGAGTTCACAACAGGAGGAGACATTGTTTACCCTTGAGTTCACAACAGGAGGAGACATTCTTTACCCATGAGTTCACAACAGGAGGAGACATTGTTTACCCATGAGTTCACAACAGGAGGAGACATTCTTTACCCATGAGTTCACAACAGGAGTTTACAACACCACTCTCACACCCCTCCTTTTTTAAATGTATTTATTTTTGACTAAATGTTTCGAGTTTGACTCATCTTTAGATACGTTCCCTTGATCACAGCATCTGTGACTAAATGATCCATCCTGTTGACAGGTGAACAAGGTTAGGGTTAGGAGAACAGGGTCAGGAGAACCGGGTCAGGGTTAGGAGAATAGGGTCAGGAGAACAGGGTTAGGGTTAGGAGAACAGGGTCAGGAGAACCGGGTCAGGGTTAGGAGAATAGTGTTAGGGTTAGGACAATAGGGTTAGGAGAATAGGGTTAGGGTTAGGACAATAGGGTTAGGAGAATACATTATTATTTTCTTTCTTCATTCTTTTTGATAGGGTATAGTCCTCATTTACTACTGTAATCACATGTAGATGATGAGCGTTTATGTAAATAATCAGCAGTTGTGCATAGATGCTGAAGGCGTGTACATTTAATTGGTGTGTGTGTGTGTGTGTGTGTGTGTGTGTGTGTGTGTGTGTGTGTAGGTGCTGAGTGCATGTGTCTGTGAGGAGCATGTCCTCTCATGGCTGCAGTGTGAGCCCTGTCTGTTGCTTTGGCTCCCCATCCTGTACCGCCTGTCAGTCAGCGAGAACGTCACACACTCCGTACGCTGCCACACCTGCAAGGCCTACCCCATCACTGGACTCAGGTGTGTGTCTGTTTGTGTGCGCCATTTGTAGGTATTTTGCTGCATGATGTGTGAGTGTCTGTGTGGTGTGTGTCTGTGTAATGTGTATGTGTGTTTATGTGTATATCTCAGACTCTCTGTGTTTGTTGTAGGTATCACTGCGTGATGTGTGTGACTGTGTCTGTGTATTGATGTGTGTGCCTGGCCTTGCTGCTATTCCAGTTTCAACTGTTCTGCCTGCGGTTACGAAACCCCTACCTGTCCCAGACCTGCTGTTTTCAACTCTTAATGATCGGCTATGAAAAGCCAACTGAGAGACCTGAGCCCTAGGACCATACGTCGGGACTACCGGCCGTGGTGACTCCTTGCTGTCCCCAGTCCGCCTGGCCTTGCTGCTATTCCAGTTTCAACTGTTCTGCCTGCGGTTATGGAACCCCTACCTGTCCCAGACCTGCTGTTTTCAACTCTTAATGATCGGCTATGAAAAGCCAACTGAGATTTATTCCTGATTATTATTTGACCATGCTTGTCACTTATGAACATTTTTGAACATCTTGGCATGGTTCTGTTATAATCTCCACCCGGCACAGCCAGAAGAGGACTGGCCACCCCTCATAGCCTGGTTCCTCTCTAGGTTTCTTCCTAGGTTTTGGCCTTTATAGGGAGTTTTTCCTAGCCACCGTGCTTCTACACCTGCATTACTAGCTGTTTGGGGTTTTAGGCTGGGTTTCTGTACAGCACTTCGAGATATTAGCTGATGTAAGAAGGGCTATATAAAATAAAATTGATTGATTGATTGATTGTGTGTGTCTCAGACTCTCTCTCTCTCTGTGTTGTAGGTATCGCTGTATGAAGTGTGTCTCAGACTCTCTCTCTCTCTCTCTCTCTCTGTGTTGTAGGTATCGCTGTATGAAGTGTGTCTCAGACTCTCTCTCTCTCTGTGTTGTAGGTATCGCTGTATGAAGTGTGTCTCAGACTCTCTCTCTCTCTCTCTGTGTTGTAGGTATCGCTGTATGAAGTGTCTCAGACTCTCTCTCTCTCTCTCTGTGTTGTAGGTATCGCTGTATGAAGTGTGTCTCAGACTCTCTCTCTCTCTCTCTCTCTCTCTCTCTCTGTGTTGTAGGTATCGCTGTATGAAGTGTGTCTCAGACTCTCTCTCTCTCTGTATTGTAGGTATCGCTGTATGAAGTGTGTCTCAGACTCTCTCTCTCTCTGTGTTGTAGGTATCGCTGTATGAAGTGTGTCTCAGACTCTCTCTCTCTGTGTTGTAGGTATCGCTGTATGAAGTGTGTCTCAGACTCTCTCTCTCTCTGTGTTGTAGGTATCGCTGTATGAAGTGTGTCAACATTCATCTGTGCCAAACCTGCTTCCTGACAGAGAGACACACAAAGAAACACAAGAGCTCCCACCCAGTGCTGGAGCACTGCACTCAGGTACATGCACACACACACACACACACACACATACACACATACACACATACACACACACACATACACTCTTGTGACTGACAGTTGTGTTTCGTATCCAGCCATCCTGGAAAGAATCCCTAGCCTCATTAGCATACAGCGCCCGCCACGCCTTGTTACCATGGCGATACACACACAGGGAGGCAGAGAGGAGAAGGGGCCTAATCAGGGCGGAGTCACGAGGGGAGCCGCAGACCAGGTAGACCAATCAGAGATGGACCTGTGTGTACACCAGAAGAGAAGAAAAACGTTTGTTTTAGTTTTTAAAAAAGAGTAATACATGTTTTCATTGTATTTTCTTTGCTTACAGCTTCACCCCCCCTGACCCTTCACATCAGTCTGCCGCTGAGGACACACCCCCTGACGACAGAGCCCCTCTCTATAATCCTCCCCAACCGCTGGCCACACCCCCATCTGTCAGGATCAGGAAGGCATCTAAAGCCCTACAGACTGAGGAAGAGCAGGAGGAAGCACAGCCACAGGTGACCTTTCACCTCACCCCCCGCCCTTTACACCTCACCTCTCAGCCGAGTGGATTTTCAGTATGGTTCAGATTTATGCTAAATTAATCATCAGAAGATTATTGATACGCTCCACTAGATCCTCTATTGATTCATGTCTGTGTTGTTTCTGTCCCCAGAGGAGAGACTCTGTCCTCATTAAGGACATCAGGGACCTGCAGAGGGACAAATGGTGATCCTCAATCACTGTAGCATTCTAACCTCCTAACCTATAGCCTGGGTGATCCTCAATCACTGTAGCATTCTAACCTCCTAACCTATAGCCTGGGTGATCCTCAATCACTGTAGCATTCTAACCTCCTAACCTATAGCCTGGGTGATCCTCAATCACTGTAGCATTCTAACCTCCTAACCTATAGCCTGGGTGATGCTCATTACACGTGTGTGTGTGTGTGTGTGTGTGTGTGTGTGTGTGTGTGTGTGTGTGTGTGTGTGTCTAGGCTGCTGGAGAGGGAGCTGCAGGTGTGGAGGGTAGCGGTCCAATCGGAGCAGGGCTCGCTGGAGGACCGCTGCTGTGAGATGGAGGCCAACATGGAGACTCTGAGACAACACAACCTCAGACTGCAGGACATGCTCTCACAGGTAGACACACACACACACACCTCAGACTGCAGGACATGCTCTCACAGGTAGACACACACACACACACCTCAGACTGCAGGACATGCTCTCACAGGTAGACACACACACCTCAGACTGCAGGACATGCTCTCACAGATAGACACACACACACACACACCTCAGACTACAGGCCTGACTCGATGTGCTAAAATGTCCTTCTTCCTTTCAACAGGCTCTAAGCATGTCAGGGACACATGCTGATGTCATGCCACATGCTGATGTCATGCCGCATGCTGATGTCATGCCACATGCTGATGTCATGCCACATGCTGATGTCATGCCACATGCTGATGTCATGCCACATGCTAACTACAGGCCAGAGAGAGACATAGCCTCTCCCGTAGAGTCCCAGAGCTCTGCATCGTCCTCTGGATCGAGAGAAAGAGAGAGAGAAGGGGAGAAGGAGAGGGAAGAAGAGGAGGAGGAGAGGGAAGAGGAGAGGGAAGAGGAGGAAGAATGTTACACAGAGAAGATGCAGAGGGATGAGATGAAGACAGAAGAACAGAGAGGTGATGATGATGATGAGGAGCAGACTCATACTCCCACAATGCACGGGAGAATTACCTCTAACCCACAGCCTTGTGATGGGCAGGTCACTGGGCCGATGAAAGACCAGCGTGTCTCTGAAGAGGAGTATTCTGGGATGTGTAGTTTAGTGGAGGAGGAGCGACTGTGTGAGCTGGTGCAACGACTAATAAGTGAGCTGTCGCTACACACTCACACACATACAGGTGAGTTTACGGGTGAGCTCTATCGTCCTGCACAAACACTACTACACACGTGTGTGTGTGTGTGTGTGTGTGTATTAAGGTATGAGTATGTTTCTCCAGGCTGCAGACGGGAGTTGGGGTTGTTGGAGGCTGCAGAGGAAGTGGGGGACTCTGTGTGTCATCTCGTCTCTGCAGTGAACACACACTCTGTCCCAAACTCGCACACACAATTCATGTCCCCATCCTCCCACACAACCACAGGCCAGAGCATGTATCCAGAAGGCTTCCCTAGACTTTGACGCCTGATGATGTGAGTTGTGTAAATTCCATACTTTCCTGTGTAATATATATGAAACTGATATTTGTATGAAGTACAGTTGTCCTGAAATGGTTCTGCTCTTTCATTAAAGAAACCTATGACAGAATGTTATAATTCATGTACATTATTTATTAAATAAACAATGCCTTTTCACAAAAAATGCCATTATAAACTTTAAAAAATATCCTGATTGTAAAAAAAAAAAACTGAGAACACAACCACCACCATGACAAAACAGACAGCTAGAAAACATCCTGCTAACTCTTCTGCTGCTGGTTTCTGTGCAAAACATGGGAAGCGGAGGAGGGAGGAAGAGGCAATCTCTCCTCCACCTTTCTACATTCTCTCTCACCCAGTCTCTTCAGAGAACCAGGGTCCATCTCAATAGATGCTCATCTCCTCTCCTTCATCTGCACTGAAAACAGGACAGGAGAAATCAATCTGGAAACATTCACCGGCTTCAGGTAGAATTGTAATGAAATGGAGCAGACATAGCTCTCTTATCATGTGAAGTAATAACATTTGTATCTGCTACATTATGAACATTCACCCTGCTAAACACGCCCGTTATTTCATGTCAGTGCAGCTGGAGGAAAGGAGACAAGGAAAGGAAGCCACTGTAGACTGTTGAGATGCATCCCGTCATCTCCTCACTCTCCTCCTCAGTGTTCGGTTGGTCAGTGGAGCAGGGGTTTGTCGGGGGGACGACCGGCGGCTTGGTGTTCTGATGGCCTGTTTCAGAGGGGTCGAAGGCACTCTCTGAGCTGAGGCCTTGGCTGGGCTTTTGGGCCTGGGGAGTTTCTTACTCTCTGCGACCCGTCTCGAGGGCCCTTTCCTGGGCTTGACTGTGGGAGAGAGGTCCTGGGGTGGTGGAGGTTTAGGGGGAGGGCTGATTTGAGGTGGTCGCCCCCTTTTTGAGCTGCGTGTTGCTGGTAGTCGCTCTCTCCTACCCCCTCTTGTCCAAGGCCTGTATGGAGGAGAGTGGCCTTTCTCAGGGGTTAGAGGTCGGTCCGTTTTTAACTTCCGTCCCCCTCCTCCTCGACCCCCACTCCGGCTCTGGGTCACTTCGGGGTTAGAGTTTGTGTCGGGAGAGAGCGTGCTCAGTAGGAATCGGCTGCTATTGGACAGAGAGGACTGGCTGAAGGGCGTGTTCACAGATGACCCTGCAACAGATGAACCCTGACCTTTAGCCCCAAATGACCCCCCTGCCTCTAAGAGTGAGCCTGACGCCACACTGCCCCCGCTACGACCCCTCCTCCTTCCCCCCAACCCATCTCTCCCCGCCTCTCCCCCTTGTCTCTCTGTATTGATGTCTGGACTCAGGCTCCTGAACAGTTGTCTGACCACGTGGGACTGGGGGGGTCTGGGGAGGCCAGAGGAGGAGGGGGTGAGGTTTAAGCCCTTGGGGGGGGTCTTCAGAATGCGGTGGGTGGCAGGGTCATAGTACCTCAAAGGAACCCTTTTGTATTTGACCTTGGCCCCCACGTCGCTTTCACCCCCGTCACATGACCTCTTCCTGCCACGGTTGCCCCTTGCGATGGGTCTGAGGCGGGGCTTGGGGTCGAAGGAAGGAGTTTCGGGGGAGGAGAGGACATAGACCAGAGTGGTTTTGGGCTGCAGGGGGGTCATGATGCGGGAGTAGGAGGCAGGCAGGCGGAGAGAGCACAGCCTTGTCTTTATCTCTGGGGTCTTCTGGTCAACGCTGGGGTCCTGACAGGGCAGCGTTAGGATGTCCGGGGATGTGCCTGTCTGGTCCAGTGTTCTCTGTCGGATGGTGGGGATGACGGTTGCTGTAGTCTGTGTCCCGTGACTCACTTTGACCACCTGACACCTGGACGCCAGGCGATAACTCCTACTAACTTTCCTCCGCCTAAGCACCTCCCTCCCACTCTTGTGGCATTCTGGGTCGTCGTCATTGTCATGGTCACCAAGGGGAACCCACCCCCTGTCTTCCATCCCCTCTTTCTGGCCACGCCCCTTATCGCTGCTGCTCCGCTTCCCGTACCTGTGAATGACATCATCAGAAATATACAAATTAGGAGAGAAAAAAGTAGCTGTTTGGTGGATTTCAATAATGTAGAAATAATCCTGATGAGTCAGGTCAAAATCTCATCTGTGCGTACCTGGCGAGGGATTCGCTTTCGAAGTAGCAGAGGAACCTTCCCTTTCGGAACTCTCGAACCATGTTCTCCACCTTCTGCTCGTCCTCCAGCAGCACCTGGGTCCACGTCTTCCCCAGGAAGGACACAGGGATGTGGGGGAGTGCAGGGAGAATCTCCTCCACCTTTAGCTCCATTTCTCCCTCTGTCTCCCCCATCCCTGTCTCCCCCCTCTCTCCCACTGTCCTAGTCTCAGGGTTGAGGGCAGAGTCCAGCTGGCTGGTGTACATCTGGTCCTCCATGTTTACCTGTACCTCCATGAGACAGGCCAGGTCCCTGCCCTCTCGCTCCCCTCCACCCTGCTTTAAGCCCACTACCACAGGGGTGTCCTTCCTCCGCTCCTGCCCCCTCCCAATAGCCACCTGCACAGGGGTGTCCCAGTCCTCACTGTCCTCTGATTCCAAACCCACTCCCAGTGAGCCAGGGAGGCTAAGGTGGAAGCTGTCCATATCCCCCCCTGGCTCCCCTCTCTCCCCCCCTGTCCCCCCTCTCTCCCCCACTGTCCATATGTTAAGGTCCCTCTGGTGGTGTTGTGTGGGACTGCGGCCGTAGCAGTATCTCTGGATCACCTCCTCTATCGTGTCCCCCTCAGGGTCGGAATGGTCACTGGAGAATGCCTGCTCCTTCTGGGTCTCCCTCCGCCTCCAGGGGGGCACCCCCGCCCACGCGGCCCAGCCAGTGTTTACTGTCCGGGGCTTGGGGTCTGGGGTCCGGTCCCTCGGCTTGGAGGGAGGCTGGTTCTCTGGTGTTTTCTGGTCTCTCTGATCCATTGGGGTAGCACACAACTGTGGAGAAGCGGGGGAGCGGGGGGGATGGATGGAGGAATAGGAGGAGTTGCTCCCTCTCTCTCTCCGCCGGTTGGTCTTCCTGTGTGCTTTCCGGTGGAGCGGAGGAGGGGTTTGCTTCTGGCTACAAGGTCTCGTGGAGTGTGTTGGTAAGTGGTCAGGGGAAGGTGTGTGCGAGTGGGTCCCTTCCCCAGAACTTGGTCTTGTGTCCTGGTCTGGAGCAGTTGGGGTTAACCTCTCTGACCCCGCATTTCCCCCTCTACCTTCTTCTGGTTGGCTGGTCCTTGTTTCCGAGGCAACATCCGCTTCCTGTACGTAAAGGAGCTGACAGGAACAGTCGTCAGAGCTGGGCATGTGCTCTCGGGTTCCGAGCGACGCCCCGTCATCATCGCTGGCGCAGAGATCCAATAGCTCCTCCCTCGGAACCAGCGGGCTGCTCAGAGACGGCAGGTCATCGTGGGTGGGGCTTAAGACACACACAGAAAGGTAAATCAGAGGAAAGAGACTAGGGCTGACAGAAATAATACTGAGAGGGATAGAGGGTTATGTTAAAGGATTGTGTGTGTGTGTGTGTGTGTGTGTGTGTTACCAAGGGTCGTTGTAGAGGTGCGGGTGATGCTGGATGACGTCCGATAGGAATCTCTCCATCAGGCTTCCAGAGGGGACGTGGGTGCGAGCACTACGAACCACCTCCCTGTGTCTGGGGCTAAGGATGTGCTGCTCCACGTTGTTGTAGAGTATCTGGCAGCAGCTGCAGTAACCCTGTCTTGGGGGAGGAACTCTGGAAGGCCCGGGCTGCTCCTCCTCCCTCTCCCCCCTGGAGAAGACAAGAGACCACAACACAACTGTGATGTGAACACAGCCCAACCAAAACACGAACACAACAAATAAACCCTGTGGGTGTTTGTTGACTCACCTGCTAACAGTGTCCACCATCTTCTGTGGATCTGTCTGCCCCAGCTCTGCATCTGTCAGACAAACACAGACAGAAAATAACTTAATAATAAGCTGGTTAAAGCCCAGTCAGAGGCAAGTTCATAGAGGCAGCGTTGTATGCTAAGGTAGCACACTGACGCCGTTTACACTCAGTCAATACACACTCGCATGCAAGCTCAACTACTGTGCATGTGAGTAGGCTAGTAGTACTTTCTGTCCACTTACCTTGAGCAGAGGGGGCAGACTGCTCGTCAGCAGGCATTTGGTGTCCTACATCTGAAAACACAAACAGGAGACTAAAATATAAAAGTGTATCCTGTACATTAAAATTGTGTGACTTGTGAAATAAATAATATCCAAAACACCAGAAACCAACTCACTCGCTGGGGGAGGAGTCAGGGAAGCATCAGTCTCAGGCTGGCTTTACATTTACATTTGAGTCATTTAGCAGACGCTCTTATCCAGAGCGACTTACAGTTAGTGAATACATATATATATATTTTTTATACTGCCCACCCCCCGTGGGAATCAAACCCACAACCCTGGCGTTGCAAACGCCATGCTCTATCAACTGAGCTACATCCCTGCCGACCATTCCCTCCCCTACCCTGGACGACGCTGGGCCAATTGTGCGCCGCCCATGAGTCTCCCGGTCGCGGCCGGCTGCGACAGAGCCTGGATTCGAACCAGGATCTCTAGTGGCACAGCCTTAGACCACTGCGCCACTCAGGATTACGTCTCCAAGGGCAACCTGATTCTGGACCAACTACTGAAGTAGTGACACATGACAATTAAAGGAAGCGGCCTGTCAGAAGTTATTTGCTTTTCCAGCATTGCCATAAGGATACAACAATAAAAGTTAGCTGGCTAGTTTACAATTCCAATGTTATTGCTTAAGCCTCCTGAGATCTGTATGTTGCATTTAGGCTTTTTATTCCACGGCGCGTGGGATTCCATTGGAAATCTGCAGCTCGCGCGAAATTTAAGTGACTAACCAGCTAACTACGCCGTGATTGGTTGGAACGAGGACACACCGTAGCCACAGAAAGCAATTTGGCCTACTGCTATCCTCGATTAGCTTTCTCAGAAGAAATCACAATTGATCTTCTACAGCAAGGAGCTAGCTGGATGACTGAAATCTGCAACACTGATATGCATAATTAATAAACACATAACATAGCTTTAGGTAGCTAGCAAGTAATGTTTTAGTTGGGAAATAGCTGATCTCGTTACACTAGCTTGCTAGTAGTAGCAGCCTCACTAACGTTAGCTAGCCATGCTTACACGGGGAGATTCCGGGACTAAAAACAGCATGCTAGAGAAATACCATACAGCAGAGACCCCTTGTCAATTTGTACGAGTTTATAGTTTCCGTATGAACACAAACATGCCTTCCCGCCTTTTCACCTGTTTTTTATTCCATTCGTTCTTGTCGGCATCCGTATTTAGCTCTTCTCTTCCCGGAGAAGTGACGTTACCGGGCTTGGCGGATACGAATTCCTACCGCAGATTACGGAAGAGGAAGCGAGACATCCCTCTCGCAAATTGTTGCTGGTTCATAGTCAAACTAAGCACACCAGACAGCTGCGTTCGCATTTGTGTCTATAGGAGAGGCACCCCTTAAGTTGCCAAGTAAGCAGAATCGATCTGTGACAATGTTCTAATGTAAACGGCCCGAGTAAGAAATCTTTATTCAGCCATTTTTGGTACAGCCATTGAACTGTGCTGTTGCAACACCGTTCAACGGGAAGGTATACAACTGAGTCATTCTTACCTCGGGTCGTCAGGTTGCCCTTCTGTGAAACATGTCTAATGACCCAATTGTCATCTCCCAAGGCTCAATTGAGTTTAAGGGTAAATAATGTTTTGAAATTTACATCATTTAGCAGACGCTCTTATCCAGAGCGACTTACAAATTGTAATGAATCTGAGCTATGCCCTTCATCTCTATGGTCAAACATTTCAGAATAAATAGTTGCTGCAATGTCACTTTTTGGGCGACCGGACCAAATTCACATATAATTGTTATATGTCACTCAGAGCACGCCAGCTTGTGCTCCAAAAACGAGTTAACTGGGGTTCGTTCAGCCATCCCTACGGCGAAATAAGTGTTTTGGAAAAACGCTGTCTGAGATAAGTCTCAGATCTTATACTTTTGATGAGATGGCAGTCAGTTACCATGACCTTTATGAATGAAGCCTTTGTGCTTATTACATTGTATAATTTATGTTAACTGATGCCTCAGAACATAAGATCTAAGCAGGTGTTTACCACCTACTACATTTGGCGTTTCTCCCAAAACAGCCAATCATTTTCTAAATAGAATTTGCCCAACGAACCAATGGCGCCATTTCTATGGTTCCCGTTTAGTACATTACCATTAAACAGCTGAAAATACAATATTTTTATGTTATTGAGTATGTATTTCACAGCGGTTTAGGTGGTACAATGACTATCTACACAGCTTGTTTTAGCAACCAGGAAATGGCAGAGCAATTTCAGCACCCTCAATGGAGAATGCAAGTCACCATCCGAGTTGTCCCCAACACCCAAGTCTTCCCTCAAAAGCTACATAAACAAGACACTGACAGAACAACTTTTGTCAGAATGCAACTAGCGACAAACATTTTCCATCTGAAGTGCTTTTTATTGCGGCTCCAAGGTGCTCAGTGTCTTTGTTGGTAAGTGTTTGAGTTTTAGATCTTGTTGAACGCAGCCACATCCATAGACTGGACATAGTCCTCGAAGGCTGTGATCTGTTCTTCCAGCTGGTCTGTTCCCACCTTGTCGTCCTCCACCACACACCCGATCTGCAGCTTCTTGATGCCATAGCCCACTGGTACCAGCTTGGCTGAAGGGGGAGAAGAGAACAGATGTCAACACCAGTTTTGGTGGAGAGACATTCTAGCCAAGGCGCCCATTCAAACAAGAGCTGAGTCCATGACAGATTGAGCAAGACCTACAGGAAAAGTGTTTGAGACCAAGCGTCCCTGCCTTCCGTGGAGTGCACAGGTTGTGCCCTAGTGAATGGCTGGAAAGAAACTGCAGTTCCATTGCAGCCTTCGCCATGAGCTGTCATCCTTTCACCAGCCTCCACTGTTGTGCCTTCTCCCTATACTTACACTGTCCCCAGAGCAGGCCGTCCATTGAGATGCTGCGAACACACTCCTCCAGCTTGGCCATGTCCGTCTCGTCATCCCACGGCTTCACATCAAGCAGGATGGACGACTTGGCGATGAGTGTGGGCTCTGTGGTGGAGAGACGCGCACACAGAAAGAACAAACAAAGAGCACAGGACAGACAAACCGACCGTGAGTATCAACCCCTCAAAACAACCGAACAGGCACACAATGACCTTTGATAAAGTCTGGCAGTACTCAGATCATAAAAGGTGTCCATCACGAATCAGCCGAAAGATGGTGTTAGGATCATCATAGAATAGCCAGTTTTGTGCATGCATGTGGGCAATGTTCTCTTGTCCTTCACAACATTGCAGGGTGTGTTTTATGCTGTGACTTTACTAGTCTACATTGCACAAGGTGTAATGTTGGCTGTATGTGTGCGTGACGTACTCTTTGACTTCTTCGCGGCGTAAGCTGCGATTCTCTCCTCCTTCAGCTTTTCTGCCTCTGCGTCCTCCTGCAGGGTTGAGAGGTCAAAGGTTAGTGGGGTCAGCTGATCAGCCACTACCCAACAGTAGGGAGACACTGGGGCAATCAAACTAAAAGGTGGTACGTCACTAGATCAGCCGAAAGATGGGTTAGAGCATCATATAACCCAGTCATAGCTCAAGGGGGAACAGGGAAGGGAGCTATAGATTGACAGAGTTCAGCCAACTCAGCCTGAAATTGATTTCAAAACAGACAGCCATGTTAGATCCTACAAATACATTTTAGTCATTTAGCAGACGCTCTTATCCAGAGCGACTTACAGGAGCAATTAGGGTTAAGTGCCTTGCTTAAGGGCACATCGACAGATTTTTCACCTAGTCGGCTCGGGATTAGAACCAGCGACCTTTCGGTTACTGGCACAACGCTCTTAACCACTAAGCTACCTGCCGCCCAATATAAAATACATTGCCCCATCTTAATTTTTAAATGTCAGATTACTGAAATCCCCATATGAGAACGCCATTGTTCTAGAACATTTGGGGCCAACATGGATAGCTCTGTACATCTATGGCTCTGAGTCTGACATAGATACCTAGAAATCCAGTTACCCCGCTGAGGATTAATAAATTTGATTGAATTCAAAACAGGAAACAGTCACCTCTTCGTCAGAGCCGAAGAGGTCCATGTCATCGTCGTCATCCTTAGAGTCTCCGGCTGCAGCAGTCTTGTCCTCCACCCCGGCAGGACCATACTGGCCCAGGGGCTTCTTCACTCCTGGCAGACTGCAGTGAGGAGAGAGAAAGGGAAGGTGGAGAATTAGTAGGACGGAGAAGGGATGAGGACAAAGAGAAAGGGCAGGGAGGAACAGTGAGTAGAAAAGGGGGTAAAGAGAGGGTGGGGAGAAAGCAGGGAGGGCAAGTTAGACAGATATCCCAATTAATGTATTCACCCATCTTATCTACATCTATGATCCAGATTCATCAGTAATAAAAGGATGTGCATCAGGCACTCAGGCGAAAGATGGTGTGAAATCATCACGCAAATCCTAGATCTGTAGTGAAGGGGTAACTAGTCATTTGATTAACTGGTGATCATAGTGCAGGACTCACCTGCCCTTCTTGTTCTGGAATGACTTGATGTGGTTGTACCAGCGCAGAGCGTGGCACAGGTCTGTGGAGGGTGCTGAGGAGATTGCATCGAACACAGCCACGTCGGCCTGGGAGGGCACCCACCTGCACAGGGAGAAAAAGTTACAAGTCAGCATAGAATTAAGACAAGCGGATTCTAGATCTGTGCCTTCAGCACTTTGCGGATATAAGTCATGTAGAGCAGATTCCAGTGATTTCATATCATACTTGAGCCATCATGCAAGTTCCAAAATACTATCTGCACATCCTGGACCTTCCAATTCCCAAAAATACACCCCTCGTTTAGTACCTGAGCCTCACTAAACTGCACTCAAGTTGTATAGCTAACTAACGAGCTACCTAGCCCTTTTACTGAACTACCATACAACTTCACATTGTGCACCAAGCTCAAATCAAATGATAAATACAACCTACTAGCCGAGCCATCAGTGCATTGCAATCTCCGCACCGAGAACCTAGTCGCCAAAGGTCGACTTCCCTCCATTCCACAACGTTCATAGGCAGCCGTCCACGTCATTCAAAGTTCGCTAGCAATTAACGTTAACGAAGAGCATTCACTACCATTACCTACTATGGGCGTCCACAAAACCTAGCCTCGGGTTTGGCGTCTGCTTTAGGACGAAATGTGTATAATAGCTATGACTTAAAATCTAATCCGTAAAGCACTTCGCCCGAAGTTTAGATCGCTAGCTAGTAGGTCGCTAACACAGCTAACTTGCCAACTGCGACGCCATAGTTGACGTTGATTGTCTGGCTAGCTAGGTCGATACTGGATATATACAACAAAAATTGGTAAAAATGTCTACCAACCCCTCGATGTAGCTCTTGTCGGCTAAAAAGTCGTTGAGGACCTTGAGGCCGCCAGGGGTTTTCAGATCGCCAAAGCCCATTGTTCAAGATGCTTCTGAGACCTCGAGCAAGACGTGGAGTGCAGGAAGAGGGAAGGAACGAAGGAGGAACACGAGGAGGACTTTATACCGGTGACGGCGCGAACCGTGTGACTCCACCTCCTTGCTCCCTCCTTGGAATGTTATTTTCTTCCATTCTAAAAACAATGTCACTTTCACCACACTGCAGCTACAAAGTTAGAGATCCTATTATTGTTTTGATTGTTTCAAGTTTATTAAAAAGTCTCACAAAATGCAGCATACAATCAGCATTCCTCTCTCTCGTAACAATACTGTTATAATATGATAAAAATAAAAATATAGCTTGCTAATGTATTTCAAAATATATATATATATATATTAAACATCAAAGGGGTTATTTAAACAGTAAAAGCGCAAAAATCACGAACATCTAGGAAAGCATTTAAACCGGAAGTACTAACTTTTTCCCGGGTGAAATAGTCAATAATAACTTGAAAACGTTAAATATCTTTATGATTCTAATCGTTTTGAACATATGCATATGTTTTCATATTATGTAAATACATGTAACTTCATTTTTAATTAAGAAGTATGGGCAAAATGGCCTATTTCTTCCTTTGATATATCGTGGTGAATCGTTCATTTTCGTTGTTGTGACGGAGACTGCCGAAAATTCGCCATAGGATTTCTAGCTAGTGCTTAAATTAATCGCTGTTCTGGTCAAGAAGGCCAAATAGCGACAAGGTAAGAATAAAATACCAATACTTAATTCCTATGTGACCATGCAGATTGTATAGTTTACATTAGTATGCATTATTTGGATTTAGTAACAGCCAGCCTCTGTAAATTCAGTGCGATGTCCCGTGTCCTTGACTTGTATCTAGCTAACATTGGACGCTAACTTGCTAAGAAAGCATTCGACAACACCAACTCGAGTGCTGAGAAAACGTCAACGCAGTACTAGCTAACATTGGAGACAGGGGAGGCCGTTTCATGTAACTTAACTGATGTGGACATTTATTCACTATTATGTTGACTGTGTGTGTGACAACTTCTAGTAAGTTGACACAGCTAGCAAGGTGTCCGATTTTGTAACATCTTGAGTTTACAGGTCGTTATGCAGTTGTCCCTTGCCATAGACCACCGGCAGTAGTGCACACATATTATCATAATTAATACAACTAATGTAATTTGTTATGACATATGTACCCCATGCTGTGTCTTACTCTTAGATACGCTAACTAGAACGATTAGCTATACAATAGCCAGTTAGATATGTTTCACTTCTGCTCTCTTTCCAGCGTCATGTTGCGTTTGCCAGCCGTTAGCCGCGCGCTAGCTGGGGCAGCCAAGGGCAGCCTGGTCCCCTCCAACAATGGTAAAGACCGTGTGTGCACCCTCAAGCTACTTGGATACATGAATGCATGTTGTGTTTTGAAGCGAACACACACAATTTCTCTCTAGGGTTTCTGATTACTTTGAAGTGTTATCTGTGTTTGTGTTTGCAGTGCGTACCTCAGCAAGAGCTGCCAGTAACATGGTGGAGGTGTTTGTTGATGGGAAACCATTGGAGGTGCTGCCTGGAACCACAGTGCTGCAGGTAACCTTTGAACTTTGACCTCACACTGACCCCATTCACCATGTAGGGTTATGCAGTAGGCCTGGTGACTAATTGTGGCTGTGTGTTTTATTGTGACTGACTCATTGTATTTGTGTTTGTTTAGGCCTGTGAGAAGATGGGGGTGCAGATTCCTCGATTCTGCTACCACGAGCGCCTGTCTGTGGCTGGGAACTGCAGAATGTGTCTGGTGGAGATCGAGAAAGCCCCAAAGCTGGCGGCGGCGTGCGCCATGCCAGTGATGAAAGGCTGGAACATCCTGACCAACTCAGAGAAGACCCGCAAGGCCAGAGAGGGAGTGATGGAGTTCCTGCTGGCTAACCACCCTCTGGATTGCCCCATCTGTGACCAGGGAGGAGAGTGTGACCTTCAGGTAAACACACACACTCTGAACGTGTAAATGCGCACACACACACACACACACACACATACTGACTGTTGTGTTTTTGGGTGTGGGTTGTGCCTCAGGACCAGTCCATGCAGTTTGGTTCAGACCGCAGTCGTTTCTCTGAGGACAAGCGGGCCGTGGAGGATAAGAACATTGGACCACTCATCAAAACCATCATGACCCGCTGCATCCAGTGCACACGCTGCATCCGGTGAGTACTATGCTGTGTCCCTCTCAGCCACCGTACTAATCTTTCTCCGCTTTGTTTGTCCCTCTCAGCCACCATACTCCTCACTCTCTCTCTCCCTTCGCTTTGTATGTCCTTGTCAGCCACCGGTACTCCTATCTCCACTCTGTATACATTCTAATGCTAGGCCTTTGTGCCTAAATGCCAGTTTTACCAGTGAGATTGCTGGCCATGGGTTGGTATTGATCAGATTTGATAGTTTTTTTTATTTCTCCATATGCCAGTTTTGCCAGTGAGATTGCAGGTGTAGAGGACCTGGGTACCACAGGCAGAGGGAACAACATGCAGGTGGGAACGTACGTGGAGAAGATGTTCATGTCTGAGATGTCAGGAAACGTCATCGACATATGTCCAGTAGGAGCCCTCACCTCCAAACCATACGCCTTCACCTCACGACCCTGGGAGACCAGGTACTGTGTGTGTGAGATATATACAGTGGGGAGAACAAGTATTTGATACACTGCCGATTTTCCTACTTACAAAGCATGTAGAGGTCTGTAATTTTTATCATAGGTACACTTCAACTGTGAGAGACGGAATCTAAAACAAAAATCCAGAAAATCACATTGTATGATTTTTAAGTAATTAATTTGCATTTGATTGCATGACATAAGTATTTGATACATCAGAAAAGCAGAACTTAATATTTGGTACAGAAACCTTTGTTTGCAATTACAGAGATCATACGTTTCCTGTAGGTCTTGACCAGGTTTGCACACACTGCAGCAGGGATTTTGGCCCACTCCTCCATACAGACCTTCTCCAGATCCTTCAGGTTTCGGGGCTGTCGCTGGGCAATACAGACTTTCAGCTCCCTCCAAAGATTTTCTATTGGGTTCAGGTCTGGAGACTGGCTAGGCCACTCCAGGACCTTGAGATGCTTCTAGTTGCCCTGGTTGTGTGTTTCGGGTCGTTGTCATGCTGGAAGACCCAGCCACGACCCATCTTCAATGCTCTTACTGAGGGAAGGAGGTTGTTGGCCAAGATCTCGCAATACATGGCCCCATCCATCCTCCCCTCAATACGGTGCAGTCGTCCTATCCCCTTTGCAGAAAAGCATCCCCAAAGAATGATGTTTCCACCTCCATGCTTCACGGTTGGGATGGTGTTCTTGGGGTTGTACTCATCCTTCTTCTTCCTCCAAACACGGCGAGTGGAGTTTAGACCAAAAAGCTCAATTTTTGTCTCATCAGACCACATGACCTTCTCCCATTCCTCCTCTGGATCATCCAGATGGTCATTGGCAAACTTCAGATGGGCCTGGACATGCGCTGGCTTGAGCAGGGGGACCTTGCGTGCGCTGCAGGATTTTAATCCATGACGGCGTAGTGTGTTACTAATGGTTTTCTTTGAGAATGTGGTCCCAGCTCTCTTCAGGTCATTGACCAGGTCCTGCCATGTAGTTCTGGGCTGATCCCTCACCTTCCTCATGATCATTGATGCCCCACGAGGTGAGATCTTGCATGGAGCCCCAGACCGAGGGTGATTGACCGTCATCTTGAACTTCTTCCATTTTCTAATAATTGCGCCAACAGTTGTTGCCTTCTCACCAAGCTGCTTGCCTATTGTCCTGTAGCCCAGCCCATCCCAGCCTTGTGCAGGTCTACAATTTTATCCCTGATGTCCTTACACATCTCTCTGGTCTTGGCCATTGTGGAGAGGTTGGAGTCTGTTTGATTTGAGTGTGTGGACAGGTGCAGTTAATACAGGTAATGAGTGGAGAACAGGATGGCTTCTTAAAGAAAAGCTAACAGGTCTGTGAGAGCCGGAATTCTTACTGGTTGGTAGGTGATCAAATACTTATGTTATGCAATAAAATGCAAATTAATTATTTAAAAATCATACAATGTGATTTTCTGGATTTTTGTTTTAGATTCCGTCGCTCACAGTTGAAGTGTACCTATGATAAAAATTACAGACCTCTACATGCTTTGTAAGTAGGAAAACCTGCAAAATCGGCAGTGTATCAAATACTTGTTCTCCCCACTGTACTGTGTGTGTGAGAATATATCAAGTGTGTGTGTACAACGTGTGTGTTTGTAAAAAGGAAGATGGATATACACTCTAGATCCAGTATATAGACATGATGGACGGTGTAGGCAGAACCATTGTTGTGTGTTTGTAGGAAGACTGAGTCTATAGATGTGTTGGATGCAGTAGGCAGTAACATCATTGTGAGTACGCGTGGTGGCGAGGTGATGAGGGTTCTGCCCCGCCTGAACGAAGACATCAACGAAGAGTGGATCTCAGACAAGACCAGGTGAGACACAGACCTGGCCCTAACCACACCCCTTACTTGTCTATCACCCTGCAAACAGTTGGGACTTCAAAGTCCAATCAATATATGTAGATAACGTGCGTGTTGATACCGTGTCTACCGTGTGTGTTACATGTGTATAAAGTGTGTGTGTGTGTTTGTAGGTTTGCGTATGACGGTCTAAAGCGCCAGAGGCTGACCCAGCCTATGGTGAAGGACGCGTCAGGACAGCTGGTCCCCACATCCTGGGAGGACGTACTCACACGCGTGGCCGGAGCAGTAAGTCTGTGTGTAGTGTCCGTCTGTCTGTGATGTGTCTGTCACTGATGTTTGTCACTCAACAGACATGTTGGACACTGTAGGCAATGACATTGTTTTCTGTCTGTCTATAGGAAGATCTGAAGTGGTGCCTATAATGTTTGTCTGTATAAAAAGTTAGTATATACAGTGCATTCTGAAAGTATTCAGACCCCTTGACTTTTTCCACATTTTGTTACATTACAGCCTTATTCAAAAATTGATTAAATCGTTTTTTTCCCCCTCATCAATCCACACACAATCCCCCATAATGACGAAGCAAAAACATGTTTTTAGAAATTTTTGCAAATGTATTAAAAACAAAAAACGGAAATATGACATTTACATAAGTATTCAGACCCATTACTCCTTTGGCAGCGATTACAGCCTTGAGTCTTCTTGGGTATGACGCTACAAGCTTGGTACACCTGTATTTGGGGAGTTTCTCCCATTCTTCTCTGCATACCCTCTCAAGCTCTGTCAGGTTGGATGGGGAGCGTCGCTGCACAGCTATTTTCAGGTCTCTCCAGAGATGTTCTATTGGGTTCAAGTCCGGGCTCTGGCTGGGCCACTCAAGGACATTCAGAGACTTGTCCCGAAGCCACTCCTGTGTTGTCTTGGCTGTGTGTTTAGGGTCGTTGGGGTCGTTGTCTTGTTGGAAGGTGAACCTTCGCCCCAGTCTGAGGTCCTGAGCGCTTTGGAGCAGGTTTTCATCAAGGATCTCTCTGTACTTTGCTCCGTTCATCTTTCCCTCGATCCTGACTAGCCTCCCAGTCCCTGCTGCTGAAAAACATCCCCACAGCATGATGCTGCCACCACCATGCTTCACCGTAGGGATGGTGCCAGGTTTCCTCCATACGTGACGCTTGGCATTCAGGCCAAAGAGTTAAATCTTGGTTTCATCAGACCAGAGAATCTTGTTTCTCATGTTCTGAGAGTCTTTAGGTGCCTTTTGGCAAACTCCAAGTGGGCTGTCATGAGCCTTTTACTGAGGAGTGGCTTCCGTCTGGCCACTCTACCATAAAGGCCTGATTTGGTGGAGTGCTGCAGAGATGGTTGTCCTTCTGGAAGGTTCTCCCACCTCCACAGAGGAACTCTGGAGCTCTGTCAGAGTGACCATCAGGTCCTTTGTCACCTCCCTGACCAAGGCCCTTCTCCCCCGATTGCTCAGTTTGGCCAAGTTGCCAGCTCTAGGAAGAGTCTTGGTGGTTCCAAACTTCTTCCATTTAAGAATGATGGAGGCCACTGTGTTCTTGGGGACTTTCAATGCTGCAGAATTTTTTTGGCACCCTTCCCCAGATCTGAGCCTTGACACAATTCTATCTCGGAGGTCTACGGACAATTCCTTCGACCTCATGGCTTGGTTTTTGCTCTGACATACACTGTCAACTGTGGGAACATCAATAGACCGATGTGTGTGCCTTTCCAAATCATTTCCAAACAATTTAATATACCATAGGTGGACCTCTAATCAAGTTGCAGAAACATCTCAAGGATGATCAATGGAAACAGGATGCACATGCGCTCAATGTCGAGTCTCATAGCAAGGGTCTGAATACTTCTGTTTTTTATTTTTAATACATTTGCAAACATTTCTACTAACCTGTTTTAGCTTTGTCATTATGGGGTATTGTGTGTAGATTGATGAGGATATTTTTTATTTAATCCATTTTAGAATAAGGCTGTAACGAAACAAAGTGGAAAAAGGGAAGGGGTCTGAATACTTTCCAAATGCACTGTATGTATGTATGTATGTATGTATGTATGTATGTATGTATGTATGTATGTATGTATGTATGTATGTATGTATGTTTAGGTATCGTGTGTAATGTTTCTGTAATGTGTGTGTGTGTGTGTGTGTGTGTGTAGTTGCAGGGGGCCCAGGGCAGTGACGTGGCAGCCATAGCTGGAGGTATGGTGGATGCGGAGGCTCTGGTGTCTCTGAAGGACCTGCTCAACAGACTGAACAGTGACAACCTCTGTACTGAGGAGGTCTTCCCACATACTGGGGCTGGGTGAGTCAGGGTGTCAGGGTGCGGGAGGAGGTCTTCCCTGACACTGGGGCTGGGTGAGTCAGGGTGGCAGGGAGGGGGAGGAGGTCTTCCCCGACACTGGGGCTGGCTAAATCAGGGAGGGGTGAGTTAAGGGTGTGGGAGTAGGGGTGAGTCGGGAGTAGTGAGGTAGAGAAGGGTGAAGGAATTGTATATTGCATCATGGTTAGATTATGGTTGGTTATGGTACGTTAATAATAGGTTGTAATAGGTTGTATTATGGTTAGTAATGGCATGTTAGTAAAAAGTTGTCTCATGGTTAGTAATAGGTTGTATTGTGGTTTGTTTAGCTCTGACCTGCGTTCCAACTACCTGCTGAACTCTCGGATCAGTGGCATTGAGGAAGCTGACCTGCTGCTACTTATAGGAACCAACCCTCGCTACGAAGCCCCGCTCTTCAATGCACGCGTCCGCAAGAGGTACACACACACACACACACACACACACACACACACACACATCTAAACATTGGCTGCATACACACACACACACACACCAATCCTTGAAGTGAGGTCCTGCTTTCAACAGATGTATCCAAAAGTGCAACCTCCATAAACACACACACACATTAATTGATGTCTGCAGCAGCGCACGCACACACACACACACACACACACACACACCAACTTGCAGTAGGAAGCCTCTCTCACCATCTCCCCTTCCTTTCTCAGCTGGTTGCATAATGAGTTGAAGGTGTCTGTGGTGGGGAGCAGTGCGGATCTGAGTTACACTTACGACCACCTGGGAGAGTCTACTCAGGTGCTGCAGGACATCGCTAACGGAACACACCCCTTCTGCCAGGTAACCACGGCCACCACAGACTGGGAAGGGATTGGGGGGGGGACAGTCGGCGCGAGTTGGGGTTGCATTGTTGTCGATAGAAATGTTGCAACCAACATTGTTACAGAGAAATGCTGCAACCAACATTGTTACAGATCGGAATGTCGTGAATAGAACTGACATGATTGGTCATTCTGCATGACAGAGAAGCATGTCTGTTCTAGAATCTAGACCATGTATTTCCATCTGCGTTCCATAATGTTGTGTACTACTGGACGTGGTCCAGTTCTGTTTGTGGTTATGCAATGCCCTAACCTTTCCCTGTCCTTCTCTCTTTCTCTCTCTCCTCCTCCAGGTGCTGGCGCAGGCCAAGCGACCGGTAGTGGTGGTGGGTAGTGCCTCTCTTCAGAGGGAGGACGGAGGAGCCATCTTGAGCTCTGTGCAAATCATCGCCCAGAACGCTCGGGCCAGCAGCGGAGCGGATGAGGGCTGGAAGGTCCTCAACGTCCTACACAGGTTAACATGCTAAACCTATCTCTGGGCTAACTTCTAGTAGCATTGAGCATCCAGCTATTACTAGCATTTAGCATCCAGCTATTACCAGCATTTAGCATATAGCTAATATAAGCGTTTAGCATACAGCTAACAATTTTGTCTATCCCTACTAGCATCCAATCATCTGTGTGTGTGTCTACTAGCGTCCAATCATCTGTTTGTCTATCTGCAGGGTAGCCAGTCAGGTGGCAGCCCTGGATCTGGGCTACAAGGCGGGGGTGGAGTCTATCCGTAAAGCCCCGCCCAAAGTTCTGTTCCTGCTAGGAGCTGACGGAGAATGCATCACCAGACAGGACCTGCCCAAAGACAGCATGATCATCTACCAGGGTACACACACACACACACACACACAGGACAACATGTTCATTTATCAGGGTAGAACACACCCAGTGCACTCTTCCCATGCAACACACGCACCTGCCATTCTATATACAGCATATGTATGGTACATGTCTGAGGGCTGTGTGTGTATCGCTGCCAGGTCACCATGGAGACGTGGGTGCTACCATGGCTGACGTTATCCTGCCCGGCGCGGCGTACACGGAGAAGAACGGAACATACGTCAACACAGAGGGGAGGAGTCAACAGACACGCGTGGCCGTCACCGCGCCCGGCATGGCCAGGGAGGACTGGAAGATCATCAGAGCCATCTCTGAGGTACACACACACACACACACCCATACCGTATGCATTTCTTGAAGACGTAGTGTGTATATAAAGTGTGTGTGTGTTATATGTAACTAATGAGTGTGTTGCAGCTGGCGGGGCTGACTCTACCCTATGACTCTGTGGATGAGGTGAGGGGCCGGCTGGCCGAGGTTTCTCCTAACCTGGTCCGCTACGACGACGTTGAGGAGGCCAACTACTTTAAACAGGCCAACCAACTCTCACAGGTAACCTTTCACCCCTAACCTCAAACTCTCACAGGTCAGAACATAGCCTTTAACATTCCACCCCTTAACTGACTTTTCTTTACAATCAACTGTTATGAAATCATCATTGGAGACTGTTGTTTTTGACACTGATATTGAGAGCATACTCAACCGTCCTTTATTTCTCTCTCTCTCTCTCTCTCTCAGGCTGTGAATCAGACTCTTCTAGCAAATCCTCTCGTTTCTCCTCAGCTGACAGCTAAAGACTTCTATATGACAGGTATGTACCATAGACATAGCTCTGTGAATGTTTGTTTGTCAGACTGATGAGAGGGCGGAATGCACATGGATAATTGGTGGGATCCTTTTGTCACTTGTGTGAGGAAATGAGTGTGTGTGTAACATTCTCTCTCTCATAGATCCCATTAGTAGAGCGTCTCAGACTATGGCCAAGTGTGTTAAAGCCGTCACAGAGGGAGCTGACGCCGTCGACGAACCATCCATCTGCTGAACTCATACGCACACACTCAGACAGCCAAACGCACACACACAGTGATGACGCTCTCCTTTATTTAAGTTGTTTTTTGCTGATTGCTGTAAAGATGTAATGTCCACACTGAGTTCAAGGGAAGAGACTTTGTTGAAGAAAATGAAACTTGATTATGAATAAAATCTTATCCTGTAGCACTCTGTCCTTGTGTTATTGTGCGCGTCTCTCACCTTGCCCTCATGAGGACAACTCCAACACCACTGTTTATCCTTTATTCCACACATTATAACAGTCTTGTCTGCTTTGGGACTTTGTAGAGTGGAAGCGTTGTAGCCAATACTGAGTGACGTCAGCAGAGATGGCCAGTTCTGTTATAAACCTCTCAGACATCAGTTTAATTCAGACTCCAGTCTTTAACTTCCCTAAGATTAATTTAAGGGTGTGGAGAGCTAATGCCACGACCGGTCAAATCTTCTCCTGTAGCCCAGGACGTGTGGGGAACGGTATCGTAGGTGCCTGCTGTGATGTCCTCTCCCCAGGGGTGAAAATGGACAGCCGATGAGAGGAGTCTGTTCACGGTGCAGATTGCGATGTGTGTGCTGGGGCTCGCTGTGCTGTTCAGTGAGTTTTGCATGGGCTTTGACCTCATAACGAGGACCGAGAGCATGGTCACCTTGCTGACCTCCAAAGATGCCAAGGTAGAGGTGTGCTACAGTAGTGCTGGACCCAACAGAGTGGAGGAGAGAGAAGCTGTGGAGGAGAGAGTAGGCGAGAGAGAAGCTGTGGAGGAGAGAGATGCTATGGAGGAGAGAGAGAAGCTGTAGGGGAGAGAGAGAAGCTGTGGAGGAGAGAGTAGGAGAGTGAGAAGCTGTGGAGGAGAGTAGGAGCGAGATAAGCTGTGGAGGAGAGAGTAGGAGAGCGAAGCTGTAGAGGAGAGAGAAGCTGTGGAGGAGCGAGAAGCTGTGGAGGAGAGAGAAGCTGTGGAGGAGAGATACGCTGTGGAGGAGAGAGTAGGAGAGAGAGAAGCTGTGGAGGAGAGTAGGAGAGAGAGAAGCTGTAGAGGAGAGTAGGAGAGAGCGAAGCTGTGGAGGAGAGAGAAGCTGTGGAGGAGAGTAGGAGCGAGAAGCTGTGGAGGAGAGTAGGAGCGAGAGAAGCTGTGGAGGAGAGAGAGAAGCTGTGGAGGAGAGTGGGAGACAGAAGTTGTGGAGGAGAGAGTAGGAGACAGAAGTTGTGGAGGAGAGATAAGTTGTGGAGGAGAGAGTAGGAGACAGAAGTTGTAGAGGAGAGATTAGGAGACAGAAGTTGTGGAGGAGAGAGTAGGAGACAGAAGTTGTGGAGGAGAGAGTAGGAGACAGAAGTTGTGGAGGAGAGAGTAGGAGACAGAAGTTGTGGAGGAGAGAGTAGGAGACAAAAAGTTGTGGAGGAGAGAGTAGGAGACAGAAGTTGTGGAGGAGAGAGTAGGAGACAGAAGTTGTGGAGTAGAGTGGGAGACAGAGAAGCTGTGGAGAGAGTAGGAGACAGAAGTTGTGGAGGAGAGAGGGAGACAGAGAGACGTTGTGGAGAGAGTAGGAGACAGAGAAGCTGTGGAAGAGCATGGAGTATCTGGATAGGGACTGACCGATGCAGAGGTGTGCTAGAACAGCCGTTGACCCAACAGAGTGGGAGAGAGAGTGGAGTGTCTTTGGACAGGGACTGACTGAGCCCAGAGTGCCTACACCACCAATCTAGATTTAATCTATCTTCTGGGATGTACGGACTGTTGAATTTGCACTATGGACTATTTCTGGAGGGTCCTATACCCATTACACTGTATTGTTGCTTGGGTTTATTATTAGTTTATGTTCATCCTGCCAGCAACAACAGCCCCTCTGGGATGAATAAAGTTTATTGAATTGAATCACAGCGTCTTCGTTCATTTCCTACCCTATGTGTGTATCCAGGAGTTGTTGGTGTGTTGTGAGGAGGGGAAAGGCGAGATCAAGGAAGGAACGGACATCCTGCTGAGGGCCTGTGTGTGTGTGTGTGTGTGTCTGATATGGTTTCAGATACGAGAAAATATACAGAGGGTAGGTGAGAGCATCTTTACTGTTCAGAAGTACAGACATCAGTGGCAGACAGAGAGACAGTGAAAGCACTAGAGGAATTCAGTGTTTCAGTGAGAATAACAGTTAAATGCACAAATACACTGCATGGAACATACCTCTGCAGGCTATATATTAGACTTACAATAAACCCTAGATTGATCATGTGTGAGCATTATGTTATATTTTAGATGTTCTCTTTATACCACTCGTTTGGCACAAATACCTCTTTAGGCTATATATATATATAACAATATACAGTACATTAAAAAAGGTATCCTGACTTTGTAGAAACCTGGGACTCAACACTGCATCAGCCTGGGACTTGGCCAAGAAAAGGACAGCGTGGAGAACCAAATGATGAGGAGCTAAGCTCCAAGGAGCTAGTGAGTGAGATGCTGACTTTAGTACTTGACACATTTTCTCGTAGCATCACACGTTCTACTGCTCCTCTTGAGGTGTACACATACACATGGGGAAAATGCTCTGTGATAAAAGCATAGCAGTGATTCACCTGTAGAAGAGGTTGAGAGCAGCTGGGGGAGAAGGGAGTGTGGGTCAGAGCAAGGGGTTGTGGGTAAGGTCAGGGGGGCATGGGTCAGAGCAGGGGGTTGTGGGTAAGGTCAGGTAGAACAGGGGGTTGTGGATAGGATCAGGTGAGGCTCCAAATGACGGTGATCGCCGCTACGATGCCATTCAGGACCGCCACACTGTAGCCCATGTGGAAGGAGTGACCTGTCACCTGCCTGAGACACACACACACAATTAGACATCAAGGGTTGCAACACATATCTAGAGCTTGGGACTATAAGGTTCTGCAAAATGATGATGATATGGAGATAATTGGCTTTAAAGTTCTGAACCCTCATTGGTTTGAATGGTGTCAGCAGTTTTTATATTGTATTCTTTTGAACTTAACATGAATTGAGGTCTTTAGACTACTGTATAGGTAGAGCACATTGAACAGAACAAGGCTAGGTCAATAACTAAATGTTGACAAAAACGCAGATAGAACCTTATAGTCCCAAGCTCTCGATATGTCAACATTCACTTTACACACGTGTTTGTGTGTGTCCTGCTATCTGGCTTTGGGAGACAACAGTCGCTCTGGATAAGAGCGTCTGCTAAATGACTAAAATGTAAATGTAAATGTAAACAGGGAGAGATGGAACAAGAGGAATCAGGAAAAGGACAAGAGAATTCGGCTAAGGCCAGCGGAATAATTAGGGAATGCAGGTTAGTCAGTGGAGGCTGCTGATGGGAGGACGGCTCATAATAATGGCTGGAATGGAGTCAATGGAATGGTATCAACCACATGGAAACCATGGAAACCACGTGTTTGATACCATTCCATTGACTCCATTCCAGCCATTATTGTGAGCCGTCCTCCCCTCAGCAACCTCCACTGAAGTTAGTGTACCAGTGTGTGTGTGTGTGTGTGTGTGTGTGTTACCTGAGGTGGGCAGGGGACAGGGGCGTTGGGGGGAACGTGCCAGGCTCAAAAGAGTCGAAGTAGGTGATGGTCCATGTGAAGCTACAGCAGCAGACCCCTGCTAGCACCGACATCACCAGAACACTCCAGAACCCTACAGAGAGTGGGAGGGGAGAGAGAGGGGGGCGGAGGGAGAGAGAGGGGGGGCGGAGGGGAGGGAGGGGGTGGTGGAGGGGAGGGAGAGAGAGAGAGAGAGGGGGGGGGACGGAGGGGAGTGAGAGAGAGAGAGGGGGGCGAGAGAGAGGGGGGGGGCGGAGGGGAGGGAGAGAGAGAGGGGCAGAGGGGAGGGAGAGAGAGGCGGGCCGGAGGGTAGGGGGAGAGGGAGAGAGGGAGGGGAGAGAGAGACAGAGAGAGATAGGGAGGGGGGAGAGACAGAAAAGAGTGTAGAGAGAGAGTGAGAGAGCAGGCAGGTTGTTTTGAACATGGCAATAACATGCCCACTACTGAATCAAGGAATACATGAGAAAGAGATGGAAAAGCATCGCGGTAGATATTGATAAAGAAGAACATCAAGACGAAGCAGCTGATTTACAAGTGGGATGCACTGTTGAGCGCTATATCCCGTGGGGTTCGTGCTGATTGTACGGAGATTGTGACAGCCGGTTAAATGGCGTCCCTTGACAAGGCAAGAACAAGATGTATGTCAGGAAAAGTGCAGTATTATCATAAGGAGATGTATACTTGGAATACGGAGGAGGAATGGAGGGAAAAAGAGAGGCAGAGGAGGTCTAAGAGAGAGAGGGAGGAAAAGGGTGAGTTTGAGTCGGTTAAAAATGGCGGGAAAAAGGGAGATGGTTTGTTAAAGAAGAATGGTAGAAAGTGTAAGCAGAGTGAGTTGAAGACAGGAGGAGAAATGGAAGAGGGTGAAGTATCGGAGGTGGTAGGTGTGGTGAAGTTCTCGAAGCCAGAGGCTTGGGCACAGGGTCAGGATAAAGATGAGTCTGACAGTAGGAGTGAAGTTTTTGGAAAAAGTGGACCCTTGCCTTTTGGCTGATCCATTTGTGGTTTCAGGGTGGGTGAAAACAGAGTTGGGTGCTGTGGAATCGGTGAGGATAACCAGAAGTGGTCTTGTGATAATTGTTTGTGTTTCTGCTGGTCAGAGGGAGCAGGCGCTCCATGTTAAACGAATGGGGGCAAGAGATGTGAATTATTTTGCTCTCAAGAAAAGGCCTCATTGAAAGGAGTGATTACTGGGGTAGCGGTAAATGTTAAAGCTGACCAACTGAAAGGGAAGATTCCCGGTATTTGTGATGCTCGTCGTTTGGTGCGATGCAGACAGGGTGGCGTGAGTGGAGAAACAGAAGAGTCATTGTCTGTCCTTTTGAGTTTTGAAGTTGAGTCTTTGCCCGACAAAGTGATGTTAGGATATATAAGTTATCCTGTACGAGCTTTTGTGCCGAATACATTACGTTGTTACAGGTGTCAAGCTTATGGGCATGTGGCAGCAGTGTGTAGGAGGGAGGTTCCTAAGTGTGAGAAGTGTGCAGAAGGGCATGAGACAAAGGAATGTGTAGCATTGGGGAAAGTAGCGGTATGTGTTAATTGTAGGGGTGCCCATGTGGCTGGGGATCAGAAATGTCCCGTGCGAGAGGCAGGTTGAGGTTTCCAGGGTAAGAGTAGTGCAGAAGTTGTCATATGCTGAGGCAGTGAAGAAAGTAGAGGAAGATGGGTCAAGGGGGAGGGATCCTGAGAGGAGTAGTAGATCTGTACCAGTACAGAGGGATAAACCAACAAGTGGATATGTTTCAGTAAGATAGAATTTTTGGTATTTAGAGCAATGGTTATCAACTGTACTGCAGGGATGGAACATACGTCGCAGAAAATAGAGGTTGTGGTGGCAGCTGCAGAGAGGTTTTTGGGTGTGTGAGATTTGATGTCAGAAGCGTTATAGGGTGTGTTAATTGGTGGGATAGGTGGTGGTGTAGAGAGGGGTGGGTGGGGGTGGGTAGGGAGGGGTAGGTGGGGTGGGTAGAGAGGGGTAGGTGGGGGTGGGTAGAGAGGGGTAGGTGGGGGTGGGTAGAGAGGGGTAGGTAGAGAGGGGTAGGTGGGGGTGGGTAGAGAGGGGTAGGTAGAGGGGTAGGTGGGGGGGGGGAGAGGGGTAGGTGGGGGTGGGTAGAGAGGGGTAGGTAGAGAGGGGTAGGTGGGGGTGGGTAGAGAGGGGTAGGTAGAGAGGGGTAGGTGGGGGGGGTGGAGAGGGGTAGGTGGGGGTGGGTAGAGAGGGGTAGGTGGGGGTAGGTAGAGAGGGGTAGGTAGAGAGGGGTAGGTGGGGGTGGGTGTAGGTGGGGTAGGTGGGGGGCGAGAGAGGGACATGTTTTTGTGATAATTTTCTATTCTGGAGGCTTAGTCTGTATGAATTTGTGAACACACGTGTACTTACCTAAGAGTCTAACCTCTGAGCCATCCTCTCCAATCACTCTCTCAGTCCGCAGCTCTGCAACACACACACCACAGTTTACAGAAGTGACAGAGGACATATTTATATAACAATTAACTAAAATAAATAGTATCCAGCTACTGTCCAACGGGGTCAACATCGTCGCCTGTGCGACTAGAATTCGGGAACTGTTGAATGACAGGCGATCTACCTTTCAAGATTAGGTAAACAAAGGCACAGAATACGGCGACGACTGACACAACCAGCACACAGCAGAGCATGGAGAAAATCCTTGCGGTCCACAGTCTTCGGTTGTCCCAAAAACTCTGGTCCGGTTTGATCGGACGCTGCCGGTGTTGTATGTCCATCTTGGTTAGAGTTAAGTAATACCATTCAAAAACGTTTAACTAGTTGCCTAAGCAAACATACGCTAGATTTCAACGTAGCGAAGTTAGTTACCTCTCCCAAACTGCCTTCCTCCAATTATAGTGACACGCACGTTGTTAAAGTAAAATTAGGATGTATTTTATTTGAATAGTATCACTGCCGTATGTAAATAATGTAAAGTTAGTTCAACAAGTCCCCTTTTCGTAACTTTATAAACTTCTGATTTTTAAAAAAAACATAGCTCCTTCCTCTTCCGTATGCGAAAACAAAACCCGCCCTAAAAACTTAAACCCAACGGAATAGCATTACTTTCCCTGACGCAACCAACAAACATCTTGTCCATTGGTTTGAACACGTCTGTCATCTTCAGTGTTCAGTAGGGCATACCGTAGCGAAAGTTTTGCAACAGAAAATGGAACGAGCGTCCCTTATATATTTTACCATAGGGTGACCTTCAGTAGAGCACACCTTAGCTAAGCATTTTGCAACATTTTCAAACAATATATCACCTATTTAAAGAAGGTGTACCAAAACAAGCTTCAGCCCAGCTTGAACAAAAGGGAATCAGGTTCCCCTACCCCACTGCCAAAAACATCCCTTACCCCAGGACAATTTAACAGGTGACTATCCAGTAAAATAAAGAGAAAGGAACACTCTGTATATATCCCATATATTAGGCCATTTCAAATATAGATAGTGCAGAGGTGAACGCATATCTGTAGCACAACTGTCCAGACCAGATTTTTTTAAATGACGTGCATCTACCTGGTCGGACATGAAAATGTTTGAGAACACCAGTTATCATAACTATGTTTATATATGATTTTTTTAAATGAGGTGCACCTCTGTCCATTTCCATTTCTCTGCAATAATACAAATCTTATACAATATATTACGCTGACAAATATGACAATGACCAAACCAATCTCTCAGGATTTGGCTTTGACTAGAGATAGTTAGAGGAGGCAACATTGTATCTGTCCCGTTATGGTGTTGCCCATGCTAAAACCAGCTTTTGGGATCTAGAGTACTCTATCTAGCTCTATGTTTGACTTTTACTATGTGTTTCTGGTCTCTTGTGGCAGCCTCAATCAGTGATGACTTTTCATGACTGACTTTTCACTTCATGTAATACAGAAATACTGTCTTCTGATATTGATGGAGAATAAAGCAATAACAGTGTTTTTCTCTGGAACCATCTTTATTAGAACATAGTTCTAAAGGGGGGGTGGGGGTAGGTTGTGGGTGACAGAGTCTATCCCAAACGCACTTTACGACTGTTGACAAAGTCTGACACCTTCACCATCCCGTCACGCGCCTTCCTGAGAGAGAGACAGACAGTCAGTTAATTTTGTTACTCACATCTGCGTCTCCTGGTACTTGAGGGCTTTTGTTTTCACTGTTTAGCTGCTGTGTAGTTGTTTTGTAGCTGTGTAGTTGTTTTGTAGCTGTGTAGTTGTTTTGTAGCTGTGTAGTTGTTTTGTAGCTGTGTTGTTATGTAGTTGTGTAGTTGTTCTGTAGTTGTTTTGTAGCTGTATAGTTGTTTTGTAGTTGTGTAGTTTGTTTAGTTGTTGTGTAGCTGTGTAGTTGTTGTGTAGCTGTGTAGTGGTGTAGTTGTTGTGTAGTGGTGTAGTTGTTGTGTAGCTGTGTAGTTGTTGTGTAACTGTGTAGTTGTTGTGTAGCTGTGTAGTTGTTGTGTAGCTGTGTAGTTGTTGTGTAACTCACGCCTGAGCCTCCAAGTAGGTGATGGTTCGGTCTATCTGGGCCTGGGACACCTCTCTGTCCACTGCAGCCAGGTAGGAGTAAAGGAAACGGAAGGTCTCGAAGGTCACACAGGCGTCTGGGGGCTTACACGAGCTGTCTGAGTTCAGGATATACAGTGCGTGGGTCATGGCATTCTTGATCGTCTGCCAGAGAGAGGTCAGAGGTCACCAAGATAACAGGGGCCCAAAAGTAATTGGATAATGTCTGTACGTTAGTAAGTGTGTGTGTGTGTGCAATGTGCATGTGTGAGTACGTGCTTGCATGCGTGTGCAATATCATACATACTCCTCCCAGGTAGCTGCAGCCCAGGGCGAAGAATTTGATCCAGTCGAGTTCGTCTCCGAAGCAGCCCACTGTCATGATGTGTCTGAGAAGGTCGTCAGCCAATCCGAACGACTGCCACAGCTTGCTCACCTCCGTCTTACTGACTGTGCCTTTCTTATACAGCTGGGAGGGGGAAGGAGAGAGGGAGAGAAGGGGGTAGGGAGAGGGAGAGAGAGTTCACGTTTACGTGTGCGTGTGTGCGCGTGTGAGTCATGCATGTGTGTGTCTAGGTGGTGTGTGTGTGACCCCTTACCTTTTCGTGCATTGTGGTGAGTATCTCAGGTGTAAGGTCCATGGTGTTGGGGGTTACCACTTTGTCTGCTGTCCTGTTCACAGGTAACGGCTGCCCGTGGACCAGAGCACTGAAGTACCTGTAGCAGACATGCATACCAGCACAATACTGGGCTTTAATACAGCAGAGCAGGAATCCTGGTCTTGGAGGACTGTAGTGTATGTATGCAGGTATACAGTGCATTCGGAAAGTATTCAGACTCCTTGACTTTTTCCACATGTTGTTATGTTACAGCCTTATTCTAAACTTGATTAAATTGTTTTTTTTTCTTCATCAATCTACACACAAAAACAGGTTTTGGGATTTTTTAAAACAAAAAATAAAAAATAAAAATGGAAATATTACATTTACATAAGTATTCAGACCCTTTACTCAGTACTTTGTTGAAGCACCTTTGGCAGCGATTACAGCCTCGAGTCTTCTTGGGTATGACGCTACAAGCTTGACACACCTGTATTTGGGGAGTTTCGCCCATTCTTCTCTGCAGATCCTCTCAAGCTCTGTCAAAGATGTTCGATTAGGTTCAAGTCCTGGCTCTGCCTGGGCCACTCAAGGACATTCAGAGACAGGGTCGTTGTCCTGTTGGAAGGTGAACCTTCAACCCCAGTCTGAGGTCCTGAGCGCTCTGAAGTAGGTTTTCATCAAGGATCTCTCTGTACTTTGCTCCGTTCATCTTTCCCTTGATCCTGACTAGTCTCCCAGTCCCTGCTGCTGAAAAACATCCCCAAAGCATGATGCTGCCAACCTGATGCTTCACCGTAGGGATGGTGCCAGGTTTCCTCCAGAAGTGATGCTTGGTATTCAGGACAAAGAGTTCAATATCGGTTTCATCAGACCAGAGAATCTTGTTTCTCATGTTCTGAGAGTCTTTAGGTGCCTTTTGGCAAACTCCAAGCGGGCTGTCATGTGCCTTTTACTGAGGAGTGGCTTCCGTCTGGCCTGATTGGTGGAGTGCTGCAGAGATGGTTGTCCTTCTGGAAGATTCTCCCATCTTCACAGAGGAACTCTAGAGCTCTGTCAGAGTGACCATCGGGTTCTTGGTCTCCTCCCTGACCAAGGTCCTTCTTCCCCGATTGCTCAGTTTGGCCGGGCGGCCAGCTCTAGGAAGAGTCTTGGTGGTTCCAAACTTCTTCCATTTAAGAATGATGGAGGCTACTTAGTTCTTGGGGACCTTCAATGCTGCAGAAATGTTTTGGTACCCTTCCCCCAGATCTGTGCCTCGACACAATCCTGTCTCGGAGCTCTACGGACAATTCCTTCGACCTCATGGCTTGGTTTTGCTCTGACATGTACTGTCAACTGTGAGACATTTTTACATTTTAGTCATTTAACAGACGCTCTTATCCAGAGCGACTTACAGTTAGTGAGTGCATACATTTTTTTTTTTTTTTTTTTTTTTCATACTGGCCCCCCGTGGGAAACGAACCCACAACCCTGGCGTTGCAAACGCCATGCTCTACCAACTGAGCTACATCCCATGCCGGCCATTCCCTCCCCTACCCTGGACAACGCTGGGCCAATTGTGCGCCGCCCCAGAGACCTTATATAGGCAGGTGTGTGCCTTTCTAAATCATGTCCAATCAATTGAATTTACCACAGGTGGACTCCAATCAAGTTGTAGAAACATCTCAAGGATGACCAATGGAAATAGGATGCACCTGAGCTCAATTTTGAGTCTCATAGCAAAGGGTCTGAATACTTATGTAAATAAGGTTTTTCTGTTTTTTATTTGTAATATATTAGCAAACATTTCTAAAAACCTGTTTTCGCTTTATCATTATGGGGTATTGTGTGTAGATTGCTAAAGATTTTTATTTATTTAATACATTTTAGAATAAGGCTCTAATGTAACAAAATGTGGAAAAGGGGTCTGAATGCTTTCCGAAGGCACTGTATATTCCACACAGTTCAGCTACAACTGACCTTAGATCAGTGGGCTTCGTCCCCAATGGGCCCTGGTCAAAAGTAGTGCACTATGTAGGGAATAGTGTTCCATTTGGGAAGCAAACGAGGTCTACGGCCAACTTCATCCTTCTCCTCTCAGATGCTACAATACTAAACTGACCTTAGATCAGTGGCTCGGGTAACTTCATCCTACTCCTTTCAGATGCTACAACACTAAACTGACCTTAGATCAGTGGCTAGGGGTAACTTCATGCTACTCACAGTGTGGCCCATTCCAGCAGGTCTTCAGGTTGGGTCCGGATGGCGTCCTTGGTGAACTGCTTCAGAATGCCGGGGAGCTCTGGAGGGATGACCACCGGTTTACCTGTGTGAGGCATTCTGAACCCAGAGTGGGAACCAACAGCAACAAAAACACCTGTATGGTGAAAAGAAAATGGTATTTTAATGTCATTCTTTGGAAATCTTGCAATATCTGCCTGACTCTAAAATAAAAAATGTAAAGGCCCAATGCAGCCGTTTTTACGTCAGCATCAAATAAATGATTGTTAACAATGAAGTACCTTACTTTCATGTTTTTCCATTAAAATAAGCAAAAATAGCTTATTTTAATTTTAATTTTAATTTAATTTAATTTATTTATTATTTTTTTTCTTGGGGGGAATGGATCAGCTTAATATTGCAGATAGATTGTATCTTCTATCAATGTAATTGTCTGCATCACTTCCAATCCCCCATGTTTTATTTTATTTTTTATATATATACTCCCCTTTATTACTTTTCAACCCCACCATCCTTTCCCTACTTGGAGTAAATTAGTGAACAACAACGCCCAGGCCTCTACTTCCGGTCTATACTTACTATCTACACCTTATGGACAGAGTTAATTTTACAATAATTCTATTATATATATATATATATAATTATTTATTTATTTTGCTCCTGAACTTCTTCTACTCTCAACCTCTCCGATCATTTTCATGGTGTCCATCCGGTTTGCTTCTATATGCCATATCTTTCTAACTGTGCTCTTTCCCAAAAGCTCCCAACATACAACCTATATACTTATTATGGACACAGTATGCTTACATTATTAGCTATCTTTGTTATTATTTGTTGTTATTTGTTATTAGTCCCATCCTTCAACTCTATTCAATGGATTTCTATTTGCCATATATATTTCAACCGTACTGTGATGTTTTACAAAGATTCTGAACCTTTCTATTCTCATTGCTTCTACAGATTGTGAATTAAAAATAAACATTTTTGCTAAATGTATTATTATATTATTGATTGATTGACTATGACTTTTCAGATCACCCAGTAATGCTATCTGCAAGGTTAGTTCCAGGTAAATATTGCAATCCTTTAGCCATTCCTGGACCTGTGTCCAAAAACAAGCTACAAATGGACAGAACCAAAACAAATGATCTAATGATTCTGTCTCTTCACAGCAAAACCTGCAGAGCTGGGAAGATTGTATCCCCCATATAAATAACATTCTATTGGTAGCAAGAATTTTATATAATAATTTAAATTGAAAGATTCTAATTTTTGAATCCGGTGTCGTTTTGCGTGTCAGTTCATAAACACTATGCCATGGGATCGGTACGTCAAAGATCTCTTCCCAACTATTTTGCAATCTATATGGGACGGCTGTCAATCCTTTGGTCCTTAAGTGAAACTGATATACTTTTTTATTTATCACAGTTTTCCTTAACCAATTATGTTCTTTAATGCAAGGCCGACAGACAAGTTCCTTACTTTCTCCCCCTTCCACTTTCCTCTTCCACTTTTGCGGTAAGGCTGCAATTATTTGGTTGTAATTTTGGGTAGAGCAGACATTTCCATATGTTTTTGTTAGCTGCATGTGCGACATAACTCCACCAGTCCTACCGATGATATCATTTACGAAGATTATACCTTTTTTAAACATTCTGTCAAAAAATAAAGGTTTTTTGTCAATTAGTATATTTGAATTTAACCACAATATTTGTTGCATTATTTGTTCTGTCGTTTCTGGAGGATTAAATTGAAATTGCAACCAACTTTCTATGGCTTGTTTTAGAAATAGTGACATTTGGAGGATTATTTCCTTTTCAAGTAACTGAAAGTGAGAGGTTGTAATCTGAATAAAGGGAAAAAGGCCTTTCTTGAACATTGGGTGAGACAATCTTACTAATTTGCTTGAGAACCAGTTCGGATTTAAGTATAACTTTTGTATGACTGAAGCTTTTAGTGATAGGTCTAATGCTTTAATATTTAATAATTTCTGTCCTCCGAATTCATATTCATTATATAAATATGCTCTTTTAATTTTGTCTGGCTTGCCGTTCCAAATAAAATTGAATATTTTTTTCTCATATAATTTAAAAAACTGTTCGCTAGGCGTAGGCAAGACCATAAGCAAATAGGTAAACTGGGATAATACTAAAGAGTTAATCAGGGTGATTTTTCCACAAATTGACAGGTCTTTTCCTTTCCATGGTAGTAAGATCTTATCTATTTTTGCTAACTTTCTATTAAAATGTATTGAAGTGAGATCATTTATTTCCTTTGGGATATGTATTCCGAGTATATCCACATCACCATCAGACCATTTTATTGGTAAACTACATGGTAATGTAAAAATTTTATTTTTTAGTGATCCAATACGTAATATAGTACATTTGTCATAATTTGGTTGTAATCCAGAGAGGTTAGAAAATGTATCTAGATCCTCTATGAGGCTGTGGAGGGATTCTAGTTGTGGATTTAAAAGAAAACATGAATCATCAGCGTACAATGACACCTTTGTTTTTAAGCCCTGTATTTCTAATCCTCTGATATTATTATTGGATCTGATTTTAATAGCTAACATCTCGATGGCCACAATAAATAGATATGCCGATAGTGGACATCCTTGTTTCACTCCTCTTGACAGTTTAAAACTTTCTGAGAAATAGCCATTATTTACTATTTTACACCTAGGGTTACTATACATGATTTTGACCCATTTTATAAGAGATTCTCCAAAATTGAAATGCTCCAGGCATTTATATATAAACCCCAGTCGAACTTTATCAAATGCCTTTTCGAAGTCTGCTATGAATAGCAGGCCTGGTTTCCCATATTTTCCATAGTGTTCTATTGTTTCCAATACTTGCCTTATATTATCTCCAATGTATCTTCCATGTAAAAAACCTGTCTGATTAGAATGAATAATATCCGACAATACCTTTTTAATTCTATGCGCTATGCATTTTGCTAGGATTTTTGCATCACAACACTGAAGTGTAAGGGGCCTCCAATTTTGTAAATGGACTGGATCTTTATATTTTCCACTTGTATCCTGTTTCAGTAATAATGAGATCAGACCTTCTTCTTGAGTGTCAGATAATCTACCATTTACATAGGAGTGGTTAAAACATGCTAATAACGGACCGCTTAGTATATCAAAAAAGGTTTGGTATACCTCGACTGGTATGCCATCCAACCCTGGAGTTTTCCCGGACTTAAAGTCTTTAATTGCATCCAGAAGTTCCTCCTCTGTAATTTCACCTTTTTAGCAAAAAACTATTTCTCAAGCAATAATTTAGCTAGGAATGTCTCAGAGTGGTCTGAGTAGGGAGGGGAACACTGAATAGTAAGGTTTGGAACTCTCGTTGTTATTGGTTAATTAACCAATTTACCGCATGGTGATGTCACCATGGAAAGCCGAAACTCCCGCCCATGCAAGCCACCTGATTAGAAGGTCCTGTGTAGATTGTATATTCAATCAGCAACTATAAGGAAATAACACTGATTTTTTAAATCACACTTTTACAGTGTTAGTTTCATCAGCTGTTGTACAAAATGATATAAAATACAGGAAAAACATAATTTTGACTGCACTGGGCCTTTTAGATGGCAGGCCTATAGCCTACTAATAACTGTGGATTAATTTATGAAAAACATGTTAATCAATTAAATAATTAACCTGTAAAAGACTCTGAGAAAACAAACCGTTTATAGCTGTGCAGTTCTCTGCGCGTGATCAGACGATGTAAACGCTGTGAAAGCGGAAAAGACAGTAGCAGGTGATGCGCAGGTTATTTTGTATCAGTTTGTGATTCCCGCGTAACAGACGGCAATTGTGACGTCACATCGTGTGTGCGGGTGTGTGAAATGAAAAATAACAAACATCCTCACGGGGGCGACATTTCCTAATGTTTTGTCATTTGCAGCTCTCAACAGACATTTTCACCGTAGAATAGTAGTTGATCAATGCGAGACGATAGTTTAACTTGAATCATTCTACCTATAATCGAATAGTAGGCCTATATAACTTTCCTAAGAGAAATTTGTTAAACTAAAAGTGATATATGATATGCCAACATTCCCTTTAACCTTTAATTTTCGTTTTTCCATCACTGACAGAAATTAATCATCATAATGCACATCCATATTATAAAGCAGTGATAGATTTAATTAAAAAGGCAAAATGTAGAAGGGAAAGGAGGGATAGATGGGCACGTGTGTGTGTACGCGTGCGTGCATTTGTGTGTGTGTCACAGGAGGTTGGTGGCACCTTAATTGGGGAGAAGGGGCTTGTGGTAATGGCTGGAGTGGAATCAGTGGCGATTTTAGCATGTAAATCTTGGTGGGGCAAACTCCCCAAAATATTTTTAGATGCATGCCAGGAAAGCCACTACACAACACAACACTAAACAATACATTTATTGCACTATAACGGTGGCAAACGGTGCCCACAAACTGTTAGGGCCTACATAAATCTGTCCCAACAGCAGAGCTTTCTCTTCAGCACAATGGAGTGAATCCTTACTACCACTACACCTGGCTATCAGCGGAGCCTCATCTGGCAGCGAAATAGTTCATTCAGCCTTTACTGCCTTTAAAAAAAACATAGTTGATATGGCTGACTTGCTTAAACTGGCAATTGAGATGTACACACTATGGCATAAGGGAACGATGAGCGGATAAGAGGCAATCCGCAATTTCGATTAAGACAATAATGAGCAAGCTAAGAGGGACTTAGTTAGTATAACTATTTGTTCAGCACTTTTGAAATGGAGAGCGACAGAATTCAGAACATGGGCTGTTCTTACAGTATTCTCCCTGTACACCAACTCAGAACCGTAGGATAAATAAAGGGGGCATATAAGCAGACAATGAAAGCTCTTACAATATTTGATGATTACATTTCTCTAAAACAGGCTATAGGCTACATGTGCACCACCAAGTCAGAACAGTAGGCTAAGTTATGAGGGGGAAAGGGACCAAATTATTAAGGTGAGGCACATGGGCTACTAACAGCTTAGTAACATACACTTAGTATTACTTTCTTAGCTACAGTATACATATCTCCCTGGCATATTACATCATTTATGCAGCAGCATACAATACATTTTTGGATTCACCTTGTGCTGTGCTCACTTGAACAGGAAGGTGGCACTGCGGTCCCTCTTGTGGGCAAATTTTGTCATTAAACTTTGTCATCAAAGTCTGCCATTTTCTGGATTTATGGTGTTTTCAAGACAACTGGGAACTCTGAAAAAAACAAGGTCGAATCATGATGTCAGTGATCTTCAGGTCGGAGCTCTAGAAAGAGGCCCGAGTTCCCGACTTGGAATTCCGAGTTGGATGAACGTTCAAAATGTATTTTCCCAGTCGGAGCTCGCTTTTTTTCAGAGTTCCCAGTTGTCTTGAACTCACTGAAGTCTGTGATTACCCAGTTTCTAGTTTCCAGTTGTTTTCAATGCGGTAGAAGTCATGCTGGATTGACAGCATGGCCAATGTATTCAACCTTTTCTGGCCCATGGCATGTGAATGTTTATCCTTTTAAGCTTGGAAAAGAGACCCTTAAACCCAAACTTGGACCACGCACCCACTCCACTGAATAGCAGGCTAGTGATTGCTTTGCAGAGCGACTTACAGTTAGTGAGTGCATACATTTTTTCATACTGGCAGATTGAAAAGGATTTGCCTTTTCTTTTTGCCTAGTAGTGGAGTAGATTGTTGACTTGATTCATGATGATGATTTTGAAAGTATGATGTTGACATGATCAGTTCAATCAAAGCTGAGGTAGAAATAACGTGATTTGACATCAATTTATCTGTGGCCAATGACCTTGAGCCTTCTTGGATGGGCACTTTTAATGTAAATCTATGGCAGCACCCAAGGGGCTTGAATGTTCAAGCTCTCCCAGTAGATTTTGCGGTGACGTAGTGCCCCTATGAGTGACAGAACACTGAGCCAATCAAGGCACACCTACAGAACATTACCAACCCCTATGCTCCGTATTTTCTGATGTCTGCCCCACCATCACAGAAAGCACTGAGCTAGGCTGAAACACCTGCATTTTGGAGCTGCCTTACTCAAGAAAGCAAAAAAAGAGACCATGTTTGTATGTGGCTTTATTAACTCAATGTTTTATTTATTTTTTACATTGTTTGCAAACTGATATGTGACACGTATTAATGCCAAAATAACATGCAAAACAGGCAACAATGTTTTGCTAAACATGTGGGGCTCAAAAAAGGTGGGACTCTTCCCCACCTGTCCTGAACGACGGGTCGCCACTGAGTGGAATGGTATCAAAGACATAAAACACATGGTTTCCCCTCAGCAGCCTCCACTGGTGTGTGTGTGTGGAGATGAGAGGGAGGTTTAGTCTGTTGTTGGGAGTTGATAACAGTAGGTTACACAACCACAGCGGGCGACACATTGATGCTGCGGGTGTCACGGTTAATTGAGTGATGTCACAGCGAACAGTGTTTTTCTCCAGATAAACCGTTACCGCTTTTATAAATAAGAGGAGGTGTGCTGGTGATGCAATAAGCAAAGCGTAGCTCCTCTGGGCTATGCGATCAGCATCAAATAACGTATATAGGCAGCTTGGCCCCATTAGGATAGCCTACTCTTCTCTAATCTGGGAAGAACAAAGCAAACCATGATGTTGCCAACGTCCTTGGTTGGTGTGTGAAGACTGGTAGATGACGGCATAAACCGAGCGCATTGATTTTAAAGTGCCAGCCAGGGAATAAGGGAAAGTCCCTCCTACAGTCAGGGCACAGCGATGATGTTCTTCTTGAATCACTTCAGGCACCGTATGTAGCCTATACTACGGGCCTGCCTCGCCTCCGGTTGCACGCGCCGTGCATGGACAGGCTCGGGACTGTCGGTGCTCGTGCAGCCAGTTGAGCCCGAGACATCTGCACTGCGTGCGTTTCGGTATAAGGCTATTGTTAGACGGGTCGGTAGGTCGGTTGTAGTGGGCTAGTAGTGGAGCAGGCCTACAACTGCTGAACAAAAGCGCGCGAGGCGATACGGTGGGATATGATGTGATGTGATGTGATGCCGCGCAGGATCACGGTGACTGTAGCGGAGGAACAGGAATGCGCGCGACGACGGAAGGGAATCGCTGCTAGGATACAGAAAAGAACATGGGGACGGGGCTGCGCGATGACTGACTGACTTTCTCCCGGTAACGACCATCTCTGCATACCGAGGGATTCAGAAAAGGAAAGAAAAAAAGAACCGACCAGCCTCCGGTTGAAGGCGTGGAGGATCTATCGGAGAGGATGAATCCCGGGGACCCTGCCCAAACCGGACCGGGTGAAGCCGGTCAGGACGGGCTGGCTAAAGCAGGTGGGCAGGCAGGGTGTTAACGGCATCCCGTGCCAAGATCGATAATGGGAGAAAAGGCTAAACCGGAGGGACTGGTCACAGCTGCCTGGCACCCGGTATGGGTGCATGTAGCCTATCGTTAACGTGCAGGAATGTGCCTGTCCGTTACCGTAAGAAATAGCATTGGCAGAGCTGTATATTCAGCCCATTATAGAATTAGACTATTTCACCGCAACGTGCATGGTCAGGGCGGACGAAGCATTTCCGTTGAGTTTTTGGTCAGTTTGTGTGAATGAGAGTCCATCATGATGTAAACATCATGTAAACATGTTTCCCATGCCAATAAAGCCCATTGAACTGAATTGAATTGAATTGAGAGAGAGAGAGAGAGAGAGAGAGAGAGAGAGAGAGAGTACAGTAGCAGCCTAGCCTATATATTTTCTCTGTAGCTTGCAGCATTTGATCCGCGGTGTTATAAAACGATATCAATACAGACACACCCACATAATCTATGTGAACGTTTATTTGATCGTATTCTGTCTCGCTTTGACCGTGATACAGTCCACAAACGGGCGAGCACGGGCCCGAGGTTTTTCGCCATGATGTTTCATCGTCAGCACGTCCATTCATTCTCTCTGTGTGTGCAGTAAGCATGTACAGCTGCTAAAGGCCACGGTGTAGTAGCACCCATGTTACCGCAGCTGTGTGTGGAATAAGGCACTAGCTACCACGTTACACACCACACACACACACACACACACACACACACACACACACACATGATGCTGATGCATGACTATCAGCATCACAGATCTACACCCAATTTGATTGTACTGTGCTGCCTTACAGACCTAAAATAAGGTGTGTGTGTGTGTGTGTGTGTGTGTGTGTGTGTGTGTGTGTGTGTGTGTGTGTGTGTGTGTGTGTGTGTGTGTGTGTGGTGTGTGTGTGTGTGTGTGTGTGTGTGTGTGTGTGTGTGTGTGTGTGTGTGGTGTGTGTGTGGTGTGTGTGTGTGTGTGTGTGTGTGTGTGTGTGTGTGTGTTGTAGCTCAGTTGGTAGAGCATGGCGCTTGCAATGCCAGGGTTGTGGGTTCGATTCCCACGGGGGGTCAGTATGAAAAATGTATGCACTCAGTAACTGTAAGTCGCTCTGGATAAGAGCGTCTGCTAAATGACTAAAATGTAAATGTAAATGTTCTCTCTCCAGTGAGCATGGATGGTAGAGGTCCCAATTGGTCCACAGGGCTGCATCTCAGTAGTCTAAACAGGAGTCCTCTCCTAGTTTCCTCTCCTTTATCTACACTGATCTGAAGACACTGGACAACACAATGTGGTAGATGCCTCATCCCCTTGATTGGTCAAAAGGAGAAGACTACAGCCTAGTGAGGAATATAAGGGCTATGTCTCAACACTTAAATGGTTTCCTCTTCTTGTCTCTTTTCCCCCTTGATCTCCACTCCTTCATCAGCACTGACCTGAAAAACACAGGATAGGTGAAAGCAACATTGCAGATCCTTAGAGGGAATTTTGCTCACACCCATCAGGATGTTTCATGTCAGATGGAGGAAAGGAGATATTGAGAGGAAAAGGATTTAAGACTATTGAGATGCATCCCAGTAGGCTGTCTCATCCCAGGGGCTGGTAAGACATGGAGAGAAGGGAGGGAGAGGTTGTCACAGCGCGCCTGTGATCTGCTTCCTTGCTGCTACGCGAACTATCAGTGAAGGGTTCCTCTACATTTCTATTCATTCCTCCTCTTCCTCTCAACGATTCTCCCCCTCTCCCTCCCCTCCTCTCAAACCTCTTCTTCCTGAGGTTATCATTGGCCCCTGAGCTGGGAATATTCAGACACAACGGTGTGTTAATGCCCTGTTTATGCTCAGGATTAGGTGTCTCTCCCACTGCGATGGATAAACCTGCCTCTGTACACACACACACACACACACACACACACACACACACACACACACACACACACACACACACACACACACACACACACACACACACACACACACACACACACACACACACACAGGACTTCAGCTCTCACTACTTCTATAGACCAGCACAGAGGGGCCTACTCACCTTGGATACCAAGATTGCATTCCAAATGGCACCCTATTCCCTTTTATGGTGCACTACTTCTGACCAGGGTCCATAGGGCTCTCGTCAAAAGTAGTGCACTATATAGGGAATAGGGTGCCTTTTGGGATGCAGCCCCAAAGGATTTGTTGGTGCACGCTCCCCTCGCTCAGTCTACTGTGCCTCAAGCATGCTAGTGTAATAATCATGCTAGATGACTGATAAACACACACACACACACACAGAGAGATTGCATGGCTGTGTGCTCGATTTTATACACTTGTCAGCAACGGGTGTGGCTGAAATAGCCGAATCCTCTAATTTGAAGGGGTGTCCACATACTTTTGTATATGTCCTGAGCTCTCTGGAGCAGGTTTTCATCAAGGATCTCTCTGTACTATGCTCTGTTCATCTTTGCCTCAATCCTGACTAGTCTCCCAGTCCCTTCCACTGAAAAACATCCCCACAGCATGATGCTGCCACCACCATGCTTCACCGTAGGGATGGTGCCAGGTTTCCTCCATATGTGATGCTTGACATTCAGGCCAAAGAGTTCAATCTTGGTTTCATCAGACCAGAGAATCTTGTTTCTCATGGTCTGAGAGTCTTTAGTTGCCCTTTGGCAAACTCAAAGCGGGCTGTCATGTGCCTTTTACTGAGAAGTGGCTTCCGTCTGGCCACTCTACCATAAAGGCCTGATTGGTGGAGTGCTGCAGAGATGGTTGTCCTTCTGGAAGGTTCTCCCATCTCCACAGAGGAACTCTGGAGCTCTGTCAGAACTCTGGAGCTCTGACATGCACTGTCAACTGTAGGACCTTATATAGACAGGTGTGTGCCTTTCCAAATAATGTCCAATCAATTGAATTTACCACAGGTGGATTCCAATCAAGTTGTAGCAACATCTCAAGGAAACAAGATGCACCTGATAATATAACAAAATGTGGAAAAAGTCAAGGAGTCTGAATACTTTCCAAAGGCACTGTATGCAGTGTATATAGAGCAGTCAGAGCCCCTCTGTCTGGGGGTACACCTTGGTGGGAATGTATGCACTGCAGTGTTGTCTATAAACTGCTTAGGAATAGTGTGTGTGTGTCTGTGTGTGTGGCTGTGTATGTTTTATTCTCAATCTCGTAGTGTAGTTGTAATCTGTGTTGCGGTGGTACGCTGTGTGTTGCCTGGCCTAACCTGCTCTTTCGTGTGACCAGCCTGGTCTGTATAGCCGTGTGTGTGTCTCACGTTCTCTTGTGATACACAGAGTAACAGTAATCTGCCTTCGGCGGCACACCGTCCGGCTGTCTGTGTGTGTGTGTGGTTGTACAAGCAATGCTCTTTTAGTCTTGCAGGGTAAACATCTGGCAGCACAGTTATAGGGCCAGCGTGACTAAGCGTATGCACCTGTCGTTTTCAGAGGGGAATAGAAACCATAGAAAGGCAAAGATAAAGGCATGATATAGTCTTCTGCTTGACCTACAGATGTTAAACCCTGCCCTGTCTACCTACTAGATGGAACATATTGGTGTGTGTGATGTTTCCAGTCACCGCTTGGCAGATGTTGACGGCTGGCAGCCACAGGGAGTTATTTGTCTTGGTGTGTGTGTGTGTCTGTGGATGTGTGTGATAAACAGGGCGTCTGATAAACAAGGCGTCGGTTGGTTTGGTGCGATTGTTTTATTTCTACTTCCTGCCACTCCCTGGAGTTCCGTGTTATAGGAAGTCTGGAGTGCCCCACTTCCTGTCACATTGGTTTCCTCTTCCTGTCCTTCGTACCTTCATGTTCATTTCTTTGTGCTGCCTGCTTCCTCTTTCCATCGTTTTCGTGGGTGAATTCACAATCGATAAGGAGTAGCCAAAACCTCCATAACACACACGCACGCACGAAAGCATGCACGCGCACACACACACACACACACACACACACACACACACACACACATAAACCTTTCAACAAACACAAAATTCAGCGAGCTATTTCCTACATCCAAATGTTTCATAACAATGACATTCAATGACATTCTAATGTGGACTAGAATGTTATTGTCTTGGACACACACACATACACACACATACAGTGAGGGGGAAAAGTATTTGATCCCCTGCTGATTTTGTTCGTTTGCCCACTGACAAAGAAATGATCAGTCTATAATTTTAATGGTAGGTTTATTTGAACAGTGAGAGACAGAATAACAACAAAAAAATCCAGAAAAACACATGTCAAAAATGTTATAAATTGATTTGCATTTTAATGAGGGAAATAAGTATTTGACCCCCTCTCAATCAGAAAGATTTCTGGCTCCCAGGTGTCTTTTATACAGGTAACGAGCTGAGATTAGGAGCACACTCTTAAAGGCAGTGCTCCTAATCTCAGTTTGTTACCTGTATAAAAGACACCTGTCCACAGAAGCAATCAATCAATCAGATTCCAAACTCTCCACCAATGGCCAAGACCAAAGAGCTCTCCAAGGATGTCAGAGACAAGATTGTAGACCTAACAAGGCTGGAATGGGCTACAAGACCATCGCCAAGCAGCTTGGTGAGAAGGTGACAACAGTTGGTGTGATTATTCGCAAAGTGGAAGAAACACAAAATAACTGTCAATCTCCCTCGGCCTGGGGCTCCATGCAAGATCTCACCTTGTGGAGTTGCAATGATCATGAAAACGGTGAGGAATCAGCCCAGAACTACACGGGAGGATCTTGTAAATGATCTCAAGGCAGCTGGGACCATAGTCACCAAGAAAACAATTGGTAACACACTACGCCGTGAAGGACTGAAATCCTGCAGCGCCCGCAAGGTCCCCCTGCTGAAGAAAGCACATATACAGGCCCGTCTGAAGTTTGCCAATGAACATCTGAATGATTCAGAGGAGAACTGGGTGAAAGTGTTGTGGTCAGATGAGACCAAAATCGAGCTCTTTGGCATCAACTCAACTCGCCGTGTTTGGAGGAGGAGGAATGCTGCCTATGACCCCAAGAACACCATCCCCACTGTCAAACATGGAGGTGGAAACATTATGCTTTGGGGGGGGGGTTTCTGCTAAGGGGACAGGACAACTTCACCGCATCAAAGGGATGATGGACGGGGCCATGTACCGTCAAATCTTGGGTGAGAACATCCTTCCCTCAGCCAGGGCATTGAAAATGGGTCGTGGATGGGTATTCCAGCATGACAATGACCCAAAACACACGGCCAAGGCAACAAAGGAGTGACTCAAGAAGAAGCACATTAAGGTCCTGGAGTGGCCTAGCCAGTCTCCAGATCTTAATCCCATAGAAAATCTGTGGAGGGAGTTGAAGGTTCGATTTGCCAAACGTCAGCCTAGAAACCTTAATGACTTGGAGAAGATCTGCAAAGAGGAGTGGGACCAAATCCCTCCTGAGATGTGTGCAAACCTGGTGGCCAACTACAAGAATCGTCTGACCTCTGTGATTGCCAACAAGGGTTTTGCCACCAAGTACAAAGTCATGTTTTGCAGAGGGGTCAAATACTTATTTTCCTCATTAAAATGCAAATCAATTCATAACATTTTTGACATGCATTTTTCTGGATTTTGTTGTTGTTATTCTGTCTCTCACTGTTCAAATAAACCTACCAAATAAATTATAGACTGATCATTTCTTTGTCATTGGGCAAATGTACAAAATCAGCAGGGGATCAAATACTTTTTTCCCTCACTGTATACACACACACCTACACACACACCTACACACACACCTACATACACACACACACACACACACAACGGTTTGCTTGCAGAGCAGATACACAGTATGACTAACACAGTGAGAGAGCAGCCTCTTGGTGACTTGGAGAGGTCAGCTAGACCCCTTGAACTACATACTCTTACCTTCTCCTCCCTCCCTCCCTCCCTCCCTCCCTCCCTCCCTCCCTCCCTCCCTCCCTCCTCCCTCCCTCCCTCCCTCCCTCCCTCCCTCCCTCCCTCCCTCCTTGCCCTTCCCTCCCTCCCTCCCTCCCTCCCTCCCTCCCTCCCTCCCTCCCTCCCTCCCTCCCTCCCTCCCTCCCTCCCTCCCTCCCTCCCTCCCTCCCTCCCTCCCTCCCTCCCCCCCCCCCCTCCCTCCCTCCCTCCCTCCCCCCCTCCCTCCCTCCCTCCCTCCCTCCTTGCCCTTCATCCCTCCCTCCCTGTCATCCCTTGCTACCCCTACCTTTTCCAAATACTGTACACACACACACAGCCTGAGGAAGGGCGGGTGAGAAGGTCTGCCCCCTCACTCTCTTTCCTCTGGTACTGGATGGGAGACTGCAGTGCTACGTACACACACCTACACACACAGACACACACACACAGACACACACACACACACGCGTGCGCACACACACACACACACACACACACACACACACACACACACACACACACACACACACACACACACACACACACACACACAAACACACACAGACACACACACACACACACACACAAACAAACACACACACACACACACAAACAAACACAGACACACGGGCGCGCACACACACACACACACACACACACACACACAAACAAACACACACACACAGACACACACACAAACACACAAACAAACACACACAGACACGAGCACACACACACACACACACATACACACACACACACAAACAAACACACACACACCCCCTCACACCAGTGCTCCGCAAACACCCCCCCCTACCTTTGTCTCTGCCCTATGCCCCAGTAACCCAGCTGTTCCAGTCAGGATTATACCCACATCAGATTACACTAACAGGTCTAAACACCAGATGTGTTTTGTCTGCTGTCTACATGCTGTCACAGCAACCTATTCACACCGCATACACACAATCACAACAGACAGACACATTTATTGCCAGTCATTTAATGTGATAGTGTAATTACAACCTGCTGCTCTAACCCTACTTCTTTCTCTCCCTCATTCTCCAGTGGAGATTGTTGTTGGGTATGGCTGTTTATTTCTGATCCAGGAACAAAATACTGTTTACATACAGGGAGATTGGATATGTAACTATCTGCCTATATCCCCTCCCCCTCTCCCCCCACTGTCTTTTCTCTGTCTCCCCCTCTACCCCACCCTCTCTCTTCTCTGTCTCCCCCTCCCCCTCCCCCCCCACTCTCTCTTCTTTCTGTCTCCCTCTCCCCCTCTCCCCTCCTCTCTCTCTTCTCCGTCTCCCCCTCCCCCCCACTCTCTCTCTTCTCTGTCTCCCCCTCCCCCTCTCCCCCCACTCTCTCTTCTTTCTGTCTTCCGCTCCCCCTCCCCCTCTACCCTCCACTCTCTCTTCTCTCCTTTCTCTCTTCTCTCTGTCTCCCCCTTTCCTCCCCCTCTCTCTCTCTTCTCTGTCTCTCCTCTCTGTCTCTCTTCTCTCTGTCTCTCTTCTCTCTGTCTCTCTTCTCTCTGTCTCTCTTATCTCCCTCTTCCCCCTCCTCCTTCTCCCTCCTCCTCCCTCACTCTCTTCTCTAGGGGGTGCGCAGGGGGAGGGGGTGAGAGCGGTGGATGTGCTGACTGTTCTGAGGGAGAAAGTGGCCTTTGTTTCAGGTGAGTCTAGGACGGCCCTGTCACATTTTGTTCCCAAGTATCTTTTCCAAGCTCCCTCCATCCCCTTGCTCCATGCCATTTCGTTCCCTTGTTTCGTTCCCTTGTCCCTTCACCTAACTCTTTACCCTTGTCCGACCTAGCCCCTCCCCTAGGCTGAAATGGTAAATGTCCTTGTTGAGTGTCTTGGTTCAAAACCTCTCTGGTAATGATGTGTTATGTTGCTTTTTGATGATGTCACTGTCCAAGGGGGGAGGGACAAGAGAGGCGGGCCCATCCTCACCTTCCCAGCGCGGACCAATCACGATAGAGTGAAACAGGAAGATCTAAGCAGACTGGTCACTTATCTGTCCACCATACCCAGGTAACATTATTATTCTATCATTCTATCTGTCCATCCCTCCATCATACCCAGGTAACACTATCACTCAATTATTCTATAACTACCTCACCATCTCTATAACTCTATTGCATCATCCCTGTATCACACCGTCAGTGTATTATCTCTATAACTCTGTTGCATCATCCCTGTATCACACCGTCAGTGTATTATCTCTATTGGCCAGTATGAAAAATTTATGCACTCATTAACTGTAAGTCGTTCTGGATAAGAGCGTCTGCTAAATGACTAAAATGTAAAATGTAAATGTATTGCATCATCCCTGTATCACACTGTCAGTATATTATCTCTATAGCATCATCCCTGTATCACACTGTCAGTGTATTATCGCTATAGCATCATCCCTGTTTCACACCGTCAGTGTATTATCTCTATAGCATCATCCCTGTGTCACATCGTCAGTGTATTATCGCTATAGCATCATCCCTGTATCACACTGTCAGTGTATTATCTCTATAGCATCATCCCTGTATCACACTGTCAGTGTATTATCGCTATAGCATCATCCCTGTTCACACCGTCAGTGTATTATCTCTATAGCATCATCCCTGTGTCACATCGTCAGTGTATTATCTCTATAGCATCATCCCTGTATCACACCGTCAGTGTATTATCGCTATAGCATCATCCCTGTTTCACACCGTCAGTGTATTATCTCTATAGCATCATCCCTGTGTCACATCGTCAGTGTATTATCTCTATAGCATCATCCCTGTGTCACATCGTCAGTGTATTATCTCTATAGCATCATCCCTTTATCACACTGTCAGTGTATTATCGCTATAGCATCATCCCTGTATCACACCGTCAGTGTATTATCGCTATAGCATCATCCCTGTATCACACCATCAGTGTATTATCTCTATAGCATCATCCCTGTATCACACCGTCAGTGTATTCCTCTAATCTTTCTCTTTCTTCATAATTTACACTGATATATCCCCTCTCTCTCTCTCCCTCTCTTCCGCTCCCTGACTCGCCCCCTTCCTTCACCATATCTTTCTCTCTCTCCCCTCCCCTATCTCCCTGACTCTTCCCCTCTCCTTTACTCTCCGTTACTCTATCTTTGTCTCTCCTCTCCCTCTCCCTAACACTCTCTCACCCCTCCCCTCTCTCTCTCTACTTGACTCTCCCTCGCCCTCTCTTTCCCCTGACTCTGTCTCTATATCCTCTCTCTCTCCGTCTCTCGCTCTTCCTGACCCCACCTCTTCCCCCCATCCTCTCTCTCTCTTTTCAGTGATGACGTGCGTGCCAGGGGCTTCACGGTGGTAGTAGACATGCGTGGTTCTAAGTGGGAGAGCGTCAAGCCGTTGCTACGGACACTCCAGGAGGGGTTCTCCACCCACATTCACACGGCCCTCATCATCAAACCAGACACCTTCTGGCAGAAGCACAAGACCAACCTGGGCAGCGCCAAACTCAGCTTTGAGGTGTGTGTGGGTGTGTGTGTGCATTTGTAGAGTGTATTGTTTCTAACTATAATTTATCCCCTTCTCTCATCTCTCTCTCCTTCTCTCTCTCTCAATCCTCTCGCCCCACCCCCTCTCTCTCTCTTTCCCCCCTCTCCCTCTCTCTTTCCCCCTCTCCCTCTCTCTTTCCCCCTCTCCCTCTCTCTTTCCTGCTCTCCCTCTCTCTTTCCCCCTCTCCCTCTCTTTCCCCCTCTCCCTCTCTCTTTCCCCCTCTCCCTCTCTCTTTCCCCCCTCTCCCTCTCTCTTTACCCCCTCTCCCTATCTCTTTCCCCCTCTCCCTCTCTCTTTCCCCCTCTCCCTCTCTCTTTCCCGCTCTCCCTCTCTCTTTCCCACTCTCCCTCTCTCTTTCCCCCTCTCCCTCTCTCTTTCCCTCTCTCCCTCCAGACCAGTCTAGTGTCTGTGGAGGGCCTGTCCAAGCTGGTGGACCCGTCCCAGCTGTCCGCTGACCTGGGCGGTTCTCTGGAGTATGACCATGTGGAGTGGACGGAGCTACGGCTGGGCCTGGAGGAGTTCTCAGGGGCTGCTGGACAGCTGCTGGCCCAACTAGAGCAGCTGGAGGCTGGGCTGACCCGTGTAGGCGAGCCCCAGGGCGTGGATGAGGCCCGCAAGTAAGACGGATACAGATGTGTGTGTGTGTGTGGCTGGTGCAGTAAGCTATGTGTTTTGTGTCTGTGTGTGTGTTCATGCTGTGTGTTTATGTATGTGTGTGTTTGACCAGGCTGCTAGAGGAGCATGGCCGACTACGTACCACCGTTGCCACGGCTCCCATCGACGCCATCGACCGCGAGGGGCGGAGCTTGCTCCAGCGCATGCGGCTTGGCCCCGCCCACAGCGGCGAAGCCCCTAGCGACGCGCCCAGCAGTAGCCAAGGTTATGGAAGCTGGTTGTCGGGTGGGGCTGATTTCCAGAGTGTAGCGCCGAAGGTGGCCGCCCTGCTGGAGAGGCTGCAGACTGCCAGGACACACCTGCAGCAGAGCTGGACCGAACGGAAAGCTCACCTAGACCAGGTCTTACAGCTGCACCTATACGAACAGGACGCTGCCAAGGTGTGTGTGTATGGGAGGGTAAAGAGTGTGTTTGTGTGTATGTGTGTGTGTGTTATGTGTGAATGTGTGTGTGTGTTATGTGTGTGTGGGAGTGGGAGTGGGAGTCAGAGGGAGAGGGAAGAAGATACAAAGGTATTAGTCTGCCTGTGGTGGTACAGTTAGCCCGCTGTAGAGACATCTTTTTGTCC